TTGATGAAAGCCACACACCTACCATCTCTGGCCACTGAATCTTCCCTTCTCTGTGCTTTTTTTAATTTGGGAGGCCTGTGATAGCTGCTTCTCTTCCCCCTGCTGGTTCTGCTGGCTTTTGAGGAGCAGGGCACCTGGCTCTGCTTGCAGGGTTCCCCCTGTATGTATATTTTCAGCAGCAGTGCTGTGCATCAGTCAGGTGCTACCTTTGAGGGGATGCAGCCATGATGGAACAGGAGAAACATAATGGCTGCTCTTTTTTCTCACTGGTTTTGTCCCCCTGCACCTGGCAACTTATGATTGGTTTAGATCACTGCTATTCAAAATGCAAATAAGTGTTTTTTTCATTGAAAATGGAGTTCTGGGGCCTGCAGGCTCAGCTGGGTGCCATGGTGCTTTGCCAGTGAGGTCAGCCATAGGAGGGGGAAGCCGGCAGCAGCTGCACTGAGCTTAGAAGTAGGTGCTTCTTTCTAAGTCTCTGGGCCCTTGGCAACTGCCTGACTATGTTGATCACTGACCCTGGGCCTGACTCTGGTAATTCCCAGCCAGCATAGATCATCAGTGGAACCTTTGAAGTACACAGGAAATTATTATTCTATAGGGGAAAACCGTTTGTTGTTACAACTGTTATGTAGCATATGAGAATTCATTGCACCAGATTGAGGGTGACAGGATGTTTATGACATTTTGCTGGGAAACACACTTGTGTCCTCGAGCTGGTGTGAGGCATCACCTTGGGAAATGACTCAGCCACTTATTATCTTAAGTTTACCCAGTACTTTTCTTGTTCTGTAAGAATGGAATGGCAGCTACAGGAAATATCAAATAAACATAATTAAACTGGCCAAGCTTTGTATAGCGGATTAAATTGTGTGTGTATATTTAATCTTCATTGTAATACGTTAGGAATATAAATATGACATCTGAATATATTTTTATGTGTTTAGTTCTGCACTTATTTTTATGTTGACACTGTCAGTTTGCAACATAGAATCAAACATATTTTGGCAAAAGACAGTCAGGAACTAATTATTATAGCTCAGGGACAAAGTTGGACAATACATTACATATTCTTAGACAATAGAATAATTATTTTTTCAGTAATGTTTCTTTCACTACAGGGATGCAGCTTATGCCTAACTGAGGACATCTTCCTGGAGCAGACAAAATGTGAAACATTTTATACATTTTCTGTGTGAAAGCAGAAGTTCTTAGAAGACAGCCTATAGTAATAAGTACAGCAGCATAAGTACAACAGTATGCTATTACCATGGCGTGGTAAAAGAAGATGCTGCTAGACATTTGAGGCCACAGTGCTGTCCCTGTGAGCTTAGGATGACTAAATCTGGATTCAGACCCATATATTTAAACCCAGAGCAATGGATTAGCCAAAGTAGAAATGAGTGTTTATTCAGTGAGATAACCTGGAGTTGTTCGTACTCTCATGACTCCTTTCCTATACAGCAAAACCTCCAAATTGGCATTAGCCCTTTGACAGATTCAAACCTATGCACAGCTACATAAGTTTATGAGACATATTATAAGACACATTTTAAAATGTTATGTCAAACCCTATCCCAAGAGCAAGTTGTACATGTGTTTAAAATGTTAGTTTTAAACCTTTTCTTCAAGTGAGCCCTGCATATGTTGGCAATGACACCATATAGATCGATAGCTTTGCTAAGTTTCAAAAAGTTTGTTTTGCTATTGTTGTTTGCAGCATATGTCAGACATTTTTTGGTAGAATACTCCATGCCAGGAAATTAAATAAGTAGCCATATGCTACTTTAAAGAAAATTTAATTTTTCTTTCTATACCCTGTGCTGCTGAACTGTCTACAAAACATCTGCCTTAACATTTATAGGCAATTCAAGGTGATTGGCTGGCCTAGGTCCAGGAAAAAATGACTTCCTCTTCTAGACTATGTTCTTTTGAAATAACATTATATCAGCTATCAAGCTTCCTGAAATAAACTCAGTAAAAGTAATAAAGAAAAATGTACAGACATACAAATATACATAATATAAGCATGAGAACTACCTCGTTTTTTTCTTTGAAAACCTTTAGAAACACCATGGTTGGTTGATCAGATAAGCCCAGATCTTCCTTTCTTGAATCTTGCAATATCTTGCAATAGACCATGAAGCAAGTTTTTTTTTTAAATAATATGCCAAGGATATATTGTAATGAAGATATATCTGACTTTGTCTCGATTCTAGGCTTTCAACTGAGCAAGTTTACTACATCCATGAAGATACTTTCTCACTGATAGTAAACGGAGGAAATTTTATAGTGAAACTATATCTCACAGATGTAATATCTCACTATTAATTTTACCTGAAATAACAGTATCTAATATAAACATGAATATGATGTTCAGTGTAAATGTTCAAGATCAAACAGGCAGAAATTTGTATGATGATTATTAGTATTATTTCAAGCAGAGCAGTTCTATAGTTGTTAGACTAGGTTTGCTGTGGGATTGCTTGGATCCCAACTATGAGGTCAGAAAATCACTCCAACATTGTGATGGAAAGAACCATACTGGCTACATCTTTGCAATCACAAAGATTGCAAAGAACCTCAGAGACTTTTTTTGGGGGGGGGGGAGATGAAATGGATGCTACCAAGGTACAAGGTATGATGGCCGCATCCTTACCTCCTGCTCTGAGGTATCACACAACAGCTAAAATCAGCCGTGTGAGTGTTCTGTATGGCAGGAGGCATGTGGATCCTTTTGCCTTCCTTCTGCCTTGCATGAGATGCCTGTAATCCCCGAAGTTTGGGGCATCCAGATTGGACTGTGCCCTTAGTCACCTTTGCAAAGTTATTTGCAATAAAATGGGTAAGGCATTCAAAATATAAAACTCCTAAAAAGAATTTCTATTAAAAATACCAAAACTTCATAGAACCACTAAAAAACATCAGAATGGATTATAACTCAGACAGCTGATGCATCAAACAATCTGAGACTTAACTAGGGTTATCATGACTTGTTGATAAAGACAGTGGCCAGAATCTGAAGGACTGCTGCTGACCATCTCCCTCATGTCATACTGCAATGTACTGTTGAAACTCCCTCCATGAATCATGGTGTTGTTTGTGTGCTGTTAAGGAAAAGACCAGTCTCTAACGTCTTCTTTGGCTCACAGGGCTATGTTTGTTCTAGGCCAGTTGTAATATTCTGTGCTCTATAGTCCCTAGGCCAAATGTAAATTCACTTTTTGATAGGAGATACTTTTTTGAAAAAATTAAAAGGGTGTTATGCTCTTCCCAGTTCATTACGAATTCCTCTTGAAGACAGTGGGGTTTGCTCATGCTGAACTGCCACAAGGTTCCAGCCAGCAGCTGTCGGTCTAGTTCAGAACACAGTTGTTCTGCTAGTACCATATTAAAGACTGCTTGTAACCACTCGGTTTAGCATACCCCTCCCCTGTCCTCTGTGCTTCTGTCAGATACAATTTATGATGCAAACTCATTTTGACAGAATAATTTTGTACCAAATGGTACAAATTGCTCCATGTTTTCAGTACATTGTAATGCCAAGTGCAGAATGATTTAAAAATAGCATTTTCCATATTGGGTGCTAACAAGGCTGAGATGCTGCTGTCTCTCTGTGTGTTTCGTTTTTTGGATTTAAAAAAAAACCACCCTGAGATGCCAAAAGGAATTATGGTATTTGTGGGAGGGGGGCATTGTGGCAATGTTCAATCGCACATTCAATCAAGTGTTACATAAGAAGTCTAAAAAGGGTATTTAGCCTTGATTATGAATGAAATGTGTATTTATTGGAAAAACAGCAAAGCCAAAAACCCCCTCATTGCTAAAGTACTGTAACCAGAAAATCGAAACCAGAGATGTGTGTTTTTTGTAATAGTCCTGGTGGACTATATTACAAAGCCTGCATTTTAGAAGATTACTTTATGAAAGGGTCACATCTCTTAAAAAAAGTATTTCTAATTCTGCCCCAAACCCAGCATGTGTTATATACCATATTTTAAACCGAACTTACATACACTTGTAATGTGTAAAAGTATGCTTACATTTAAGTTATATTCTAACATTTGAGTAGAGATGTATTTTAGTGTATGCTGCCTCCTAAAGCAAGGTTATCTATTAAAAGAAATGTATCATCATCATCACCATCACATTACATTTACATTCTAACGGAATTAGACAACTAAACACTAAAAATGAGTTCCTGCTGCTGTTATTGAAACTCATAGGGAAGTGACCAAACTTTCAAATTGACTGCATGTTACTTTAGAAAACAGAACTGTAGAATTAATTTTACCCACCAATGAGTCTCCTTCCTCTCTTCAGTATATTTGCACAGTTTTCCAGCTGCCATTACTGATAGTAATAAATGGGATGGAGATGTAATAAGGGCTTTTCTAGCCCAGGTATCTTCTGTGATACTAAAAGAGGACGTGTGCCAGTGTGTCAATGGCATAGCTCCAAAATCATGAACCCCAGATGCCTGAAAACTTCCAGGTGTACTAAGAGGGTTCTAAGAATGTGCACTGTGGAATTATTTGAATCTAATGCTTTAATTACTTTAAATTAAATAAATGCATCTGTGTGTTGAGCCTGTGGTACCATCTTCATTCACTAAGGGACAGAGTTCCTTAAGTTCACAGTCACCCTTTGAAGCTAGAGGGAGTAGAAGGCAGTTATATGGTGGCTCCCTCTTGGGGGATGGGGTGGGTAGCAGCCCCCCTCCGATAGCTACTGGTGTGCAGCATACTTGGGGCCATTCCTATTGGTACCAGCTTTACTCAGTTGGGACCGGCACAATGAATGCAACCTTGACAGTAGAGTATCATTGCTTGGGCTTGGCTGTATCAAACTAAGGGCTATTCTGACCTGTATGAAGCCAGCTGTGTTCATTAGTTAGTAGGTATCCCTGTGCTAACTTGCAAGGGTCTTCCAGTGCAGATGTTTTTGCCCTACCATGATTAAAAAAACAAAAAACCAGATATGTCGCTTTTCTTTCGTAGGATCCGAAATACTTCAAATCGGAGAAAACTGGCAGAGGCCTATTAAAAGAAGGCTGGAGAGAGACTCAGGAGCCCATTATGTGTTCCTACAAGCTGGTGTCTGTGAAATTTGAAGTGTGGGGACTTCAAACACGAGTAGAACAGTTTGTTCACAAGGTGAGTGAAGGACAGTGTCCCTAGCTCATTTTCCATCTTATCCTGTGTGTGAACATAAGTTTTATGGGCAAGAGTCAGAATGCTCATGTGTGAATCTTGTTTCAGTGATTCCAATTACACACCATGTCCGTATGTTTAGCCTTGGATTTAATGTGCAGACCATTACAGAATTTGAAGTAGATTTTGTACGGCAACAGTTTTACAGTATTTTGAAACCAGTTTAGTTAATATAGAAAGTGTTCCAGATCACCTACGGAAGAGAATTGACACTGCTGCAGCAGCAATGCAGGATAGGAAATAAATTGTTTATTTTATTAAACTAGATAGCATTTGTTTATCACAAAGAGGAACAGTTTTCATGCTTTGTAATAAGGTGACAGTCCAAGTTCGGTTAAGAGCACATTAGCTCCATTTATTTCAGTGAGGTATCTGTGCACCAGTTTTGGCACATGAGGTACACTTGATGTGAGAATCTATAGATGGGATTCTGTGTATGAATCTACATAGGTATGGTTTCTGGGAGTGGGGAAATGCCAGGTAGAAGTCAAAAGAAAATGCCAGGTAGAGAAAAGAAACACAATAAGAAGCCATCTGTAAGCTTGGGGGAAACATGTTAGAAAGGGATGGAAGGTATTCATTTTAACGTCAAGGCCAGAGTGGGCCTTGTATGATTTTTGCCATGTGTAAACAGAGCCAAGGGAACCATAAAAGAAGGGTAGGGAATATCATACTTGAAGAGCAGCTGCATGCTAGCTTTTGCTTACTCATATTTTTACCCTGGGGCACACAGAAGAAGCAGTCTCACACAAAGCAGTTTTTTTCCCTTAGAGTAAATCAGAAATGCCCGCTAAGTCAGAGGTCCCCAGTGCAATGCCCATGAGTGCTGTGATGTCTGTGGGAACCTCCGCTGGCACCCATAAAGCTCTCACTTCTTTGCTCCCTTCAGAAATACTGCTTTAAGAAAACCCTTGGAAAATGTTAAGGAAGCCTTCTTTCTCTCCCTTTTTAACCTATAGCCTTGCTCTTTCTCTCCTCTCTACCCCTTTGCCTTGCTGTTGCCCCCTTCCTGCTAGCTAACACTGGGTGAGTGGTCTTGTTACTTCTCTTAGGTGGTTGTATGGAGAAATGACAGAGGTGGGAAGAAACAAAATAAGATGTGGTGGGTTCTGGCACTTCCTACAGACAAAAGCTATCAGAAAGTGCCAGTTTATGTCTGAGCCCAATGTGTGGTCTTTGAGAAGCTGATTCTCTCTTTTATTATTATTTCAGTGACCTCTCTGCCATTTGCTTTCTGGAAGTGCATCTTCCATCCATAGATTCACTGGAAATTGAATAATTGTTTTGGGGGTTTTTTTTGGCGGGGGAGGGATGCCTTCTGTTAGATTTCTACTATGTGCTACTATTGTAAGGGCCTGGGGGATTCCGTGCTTAGGGCAGGTTGTATGGCACATGACAGGTCTTCTCCACTGATAGTCAGAGGGCATGGCCAAGAGAAAAGAAAGGGCTGCCTTAAATCTCAAATGCCCCCTGACATTCTGAATCCCTCTCCCCAGTTTGTAGATCATTCCTTGGGAAGCTGTGCAGCGCCCAGTCAAGAACCACTGCTCTGTGCCCTCTTTGGCCTAAAGAGTAATACCTCATTCAGTATGCCCTTCCCTTTCTTCCTATACAATTTATATCCAGAGAGGATCAAATCCCTCCACTTATTTATTTATAAATTTATAGGCCATTGAATACCCTAACAAGATCCTCTAAGCGGCATCCAACGACAATAAAATATAAGACAAAGCATTACAATTTCTAGTAACAATTAAAAAACCCCAATGGCTGGTAGTGCACGAGATCTTAAAACAAACAGTTATTAAAATCAGGTTTCAAAATGTCTATGAAAGGTCAGTCTTCACCTGGCACCAAAATGAAAGCAGTGATGGCGCCCGGAGGACCTCTCTAGGAAGCCCATTCCAAATGGTTCTTCCCATTCTGTCAGGTTTCCTTTATAACAGCTCGATCTTAGTCCTTCTCTAGAACCATGCACCCCAACTCCTTTATCTCAGCTCAGAGTCTTCTAGTATTAGCATAGAAATGATTACGCAAATGTGTCTGACCCCTTTGACTGGCTGTCATGTCGTACTGTATTTTATGGGTGGCCAGGTTCTGAGGGCCCAGCGAGCCATTGGAAAAAAACCACGGGTGGCACTGCCTCACCATGGCCCACTCCTCTCCCCCAACACTGAAATCAGCCCTGATTTGCTACACATGGGCGCAGTGCCTTGCTGGAATGCATAATCATACTCCTGCAAGCCACAGGAGAGAACAAATTTACTTTAAAGGAAGGCATGTGGTCCCTGTGCACCCTGTTTTAAAGTGAAAATGTGGCCTTTTTTGCCACCACTGCCTTGCAGCTGATATTAAATGACAGTTTGGTGGCAAAAATGGTGAAAGCGGTGCCCTTCAGGTGGGCCCTATTCTTTCTGTACAGTATCATCTTGCAGTAAAACTTCCCCCCTGCAATCTCCTCCACTGAGTCCTCTCAGCTCTGCCTGTCCTACTCGTTTGGTGAGTGGAACAGGATAGCGCTTCAGAGAAAGCTGCTTCGGCAGTTGGAGGTCTTGGATTTCCACTTTCTAGCTAGCAAACTAACATTTGCTTCCAGGAATGCATGATGACCTGTGCTGATGTGACTGGGCCAAGGTGCACCATGACCACTGGCTCCTCCACAGCACCGTTTGTGAGCTTATCTAGTCAGAAATGTACATACCAAGAATGTAGCTGTTCTGCATTCTTCTCTTCTGTATTTTTCTATATGAGAGGGAAGGAGGCAGGAGTGAGAGAAACCCCTGAGCTATGCACTTGTTGGCCTGCTTGTAATTTATGTGCTAAAAATTCTGCACATTTTGTTTCAGTTCAGGGCCTTAACTAGGTCTAAAGGAACAAAGTGGGAAAGCAAATGCTGCAGCCTATAGGATGAAAAACAGTTTCTATCAGGGTAATACTAGAATGTTAATGTTGCTCATTTTCATTGCTTGCATATTCTCTTCTTGAGCATCCCTGTGCATGCTCAAAGGGTATAGAAAATAAATCTGCAGCTGAGATTAATAAATATTCCATGTTGCAAAGACCTTTTAAAATTTACTCCCTTTAAAACTATGCCTGAATTCTTTATACAATTTTGGACATAGATCATTGATATTGGATCTAATGTAATTTGGACTTGATTTTCTGTGTGTCCTTCAGATTTTATAAAATACACAATACCTATATGATCTATGAAACAAAAAGTGCCATTATGCCATATGTTCAGCTCCATTCCTAGGCACTTCTATGCACTATTTCCACCAGCAGACTGTATGGAGGAGGAACTGGGCCATTCCACAAGCTCTGCTGAAGACCTTCCCTGTGAAGTCTCCCCAGCCATCAAGTGTCATATCAGGGGATGTGGGGTCATTCCACAAGCCCTCCTTTTTGTTTGTGTGTCATGCCTTTTTAGATTATAAGTCTTCAGGCAGGGACTGTCTTCTTTTTCTAATCATATGTAAGCCACACTGGGAGTCTTTTTGGCTGCGGTGTGTAATAAAAATACATGGAATAAATGAGTCATTTTCACCTAGTATCACAGAGACAGTAAGCATTTTCAAACTGGAAGCAATTAGCTTGCTTTGTCTTTCAAAAATTGTATCCAAGAAACTCAAAATCAAGACAGAGGATTGTTTAATTATAAAATGATCGCAGGCTAGCATGAGGTATGTATGAAGTGATGGTTAAAATAGTATTGGGCAGTGTGTGGCGCTCTAGATGTTTTGCACTTTAATTCCCATTAACCTTCCCTATTGGCTATGCTGACTAGGATTGATGAGTGGCACAGGTCAAAACATCTGGAAGCCCACAAATTAATTTCATTTTCATTTATTTATTACATTTCTATACTGCCCAATAGCCAGGGTTCTCTAGGCAACGTATAAAGGTTAAATATCTTAAATGTACAATATTGAAACATGGCTGGAATGAATACATTTTGTTTTAAAATGAAAGCCAGGTGAATATTGTTGGTCCAATTGTAAAAATAGGTCTTCATCATCCTATATGTGTAATTATTACCAGTCTTGGTTGCAAATGTTGTTCTTAAATTGAACTGTTTCTACATGCACCTTTCAAAAAATGAACATACAAAATTAGCAATGGCTTTTCTTTGGGAGATATAGAGACCATACTTTCAAGAATGTCCCATCGTTATAAATCGGCTAAAGCCTAGCTTGCTATTCAGAACATTGATTGTGTTAGCTATAGCACATTCATATGCATTGTAGTTGCTCCTTGTGTTTTTTTATGTGTTTGTGTCTTGGAGAAGTCTTGAACCTCATTCTGATTTACAGGTGGTCAGAGATATCTTGCTGATCGGTCACCGACAGGCTTTTGCATGGGTGGATGAGTGGTATGGTAAGTCATGTTTTAAAGTATAAATGGCCAGTATGGCTGGCTACAAGACATATCTACAGCATATGTATTTATTCTATGCCATGCTTTTATGTGTTGCACTAGCCTTGGTTAAGGCTGCTGTCACAGAGAGCAGCTTTTGCTTTCCCTAAGCTTGCTTCAGAATAATCAGAACTCACTCATGTATCATTCATAGCCAAAGCCGAAGAGGGAATTTTAGAATGGGAGCAGGGTACGCTGCTGCTGCTGCATTTTTAAAGAAGATGGTTTTAATCCAACCATTGCAGTGACCTTTTTTTGGTAGCTACAAAAGACTTGCCTACAGCATTGTTTAAACTCTTTTATTAGTGTTTATGCAGCTTAGCATCTGATGCTCTTATGACACATCCCTCTGCCCAGTTTTTACTTATATTATTTCAAATTACAGCCAATTTCAATATAACACAGGATCATGCCTTTGGGATTTATAGCTAGCCAAGGGGTTGTGGTATTTGAACTAGTTGAGACTTAGAGACACCTCTAACTAGAAGCAGGTGAACCAAGACAGAAGGACACCAGCATAAATTTGCACGTCGGAGGGACTGGCCATTCAGCCTTGTGACCTTCCCAATCCCCAAATGCTAGTTCTCTGATGTATCTGCAATTTAACATCAGGGTAGCTTAAAAGCATTCACAGATAAGCCCAAAGTGAAAAGCCAGCATTGTGGAAAAATGTATAACCCGACTCCCCCCCTCAATATTTAAAGAATACAGTTCAAACCCCATCTGTTCTAATCCAGCACCCGCATGTAGCCCCTGAAAGTAGTACATTCTAGGTAAGCTTAATAAGTATTTTGAAGATTACAGGATTATCCTAAGGCTCAGCATCATTAATATTTCTTGATTGTGCAATAAATATGCAGGGTTTTATTTTTAAGTCAGTTTTTTAAAAACTGTTTTGCAGTAGCTTAGAAATAATGGAAGTGTAAAAGGAAAGTCAGATGGAATTGTGTCACTGGGAAGGTATGTTCTGATAAATGTGCTGTGATTTATTCAAACATTTAGGTACTGCTCAATCATATGATAGGACTATTCCATATCAATTCCTGAACTGGCTCTAAGAAAAGCTCTGGTGCCTGCAAAAGGGGGCACAACTGGAGTGAGGAGATGTAGGGATTGGGCCAGCTCCCCTATAAAAGAGCCTTCAAAGGTTCTGGATACCCGTTCTGATTCAGATGAAGCAGGGAGAGAGAATCCCTGCAGAACAGGAATCAAGACAGTCTCTGCCACAGGTCCCTGGGAATCTTGCAGGAGACCTAAGATGGAAGGAAGTGAAGGGACAACCCATGGTGAGTCTGATCAACGCACACTGCATAGATTATTTCCAGGGTAGGAATTCTCCCCATCGGTTGCACCCTTCCAGTAATGATAGCTAGCTAGGCAATGAATCCCATTAATAGAAGAATTATTCCATAAACTGCAGTAGCATTATATGGCTTTATCTGCTGCATAACTAGCTTTTATAAATTATAGCTGAACTTTCTTTTTAATTTTTTTTCAGAAGTTTAAGGAGATGTAAAGGTGTGTAAGGTTCAAGAGAATATGGGTTCCTCTTTTCTTACCGTGCTTTTGCCATTTGGGGAAGGGACAAGGAATGAATATTGCTTCTTTATATGGTATCCATCCTTCATGTCTGCAGAGTTTTATATCGTAGTCTCTTTAGTTCCCACACTTTCTGAGAGAAGCAGAGACAGGCCTCTCTCCTGTTTACACATTGTCAGCTTTTGACAATGGGCACAAAATAATCCCTTACATGCAGAGATTGATGTGATCTTGCAGTGGGGCAGAGATTGTGATCAAACAAATTTCTCCTCAAAGCACTGAGACTGGAGGGCCCCGGTAAAACTGTGGAGTGATCAAAAGCTAGAGCTGCCACTCACAAACTACACCCCCACCCCCTGCTCTCTGCTCTGCTCATAGCTCTCAAGGCCTTACTGCAACTTGAGACCGGGAACCTGTCATACTCGTGGTCATCATCTCTTAGGCAGAATGGGGCATAGGGTGAGAGCTCCCCCTCAATTACGCAGCCCTACGGTAGGACAGCAGTACCATGGGAGAGAACCGCAGTGCGGCGCCAGGTGTGAAGAGGACACCACTGTTACAGTTGCTCCCCTACATGCTGCGCATTGGCACTGCGACGGACTTTTTTGTGCTAGTGCCACAGGTCTGCCCTTGTGCACAGATGACAGGCTTCCAGGCAAGGGATGTGGCACTGTGGAGCTGGTGTTGCCTGCAGGGTGCACATTTGGTTTCTACTGTGATGTCGTGCTTCATGCTACAGCTTGGCAGGCAGAACCAGGCCCCAAAAGAGTAGTCAAAACAGCAGCAATAGTTATGAAAAATGCCATTCAACATTTGTCGGAATCCATCAAATACTGCCTGTGAAAATCTCTCTCTCTTGCATCCACACACACAGAAAGAAAGAGCTTTTCAAGACCCACAGCGTATTTTGAATATTGTTCAAGAATTGAATGATGAATAATAACTTTTGTACATGGAAGGATGAGTATTTATCCATGCAAATACTCTGATAGTCTATTAAGATGATACATTTTGAGGCCTGTACATGGCAGCATGGATAAACCTCCGCTCACACAGTGGGACTTCCCAGACCCCCCTGCACCCCCCACATACACACCTGTTTGCAGAAAGCTCTGTCTGGATTGCTGCGCCTGGATAATGGCAATTTATTTTAATAATTAGGATGCTTTAATGCCATGGGCTTGAATACTCAGCTGCAAGAGCATTGGAAGGGTGCAATTTCTTTCAAATTTGTAATGATTGGATGGCCATCTTCCTTCAGTGTTTGTTATACATTTAAAACTAAGTATTCTATAATATATGCATTTGTTGATGATATCAAGTGAATGCAATAGACAAATGTATTGTTTAGTTTACTCTAACAATGTCTTTTTTGTTGAACCAAGTGCTTTACCCCCATAGTTGCATGCTAACCCCCAATTCTAAATGTAATTTCTCAGAAGTGTTTCCATTATTTTAGGGAATCTTATTTCCAGGTAAATGTGTGAAGGACTGAAGCCTAATATGCACTTAGCTTTGTCATGAGACAATGCTATTTCTAGTGCTATTAATGAAGAGCATGTACTTTGCTTGGCAGAAGTGCTTCTGATCACGCAATTTCCCTTGCTTCTAAGTTTCTTCGATCAATGCTTTAATGCTCCTTCATTCCAAGTAGGGAAAAAGCACACTAATATTAAAATAGGGTAATCCATGACTCATGTTAACAGTGATGGAACATATTGTGAGATGTCATACCAGAAGATTCTGATACACTCAGTCCATACCATGTAACAGAGGAATACACTGGGATGTGTAAGAGCCTTTCCTTCCATATAAAATAACAGGGGACCTCCACACAGTGGAAGTTATGGGGTAAATCCACTATTAGTCTTTCTTACAGAAATCCACTGAAATTAATGGGACTTAAGGTAACCTAAACTAAGTCCCATTCATTCCACTAGTTCTGCTCTAAGTAGCAATATCACTGGATTTAACCCCATATGTGCATGTTCCTCTGGAGTTTGGAAACATGGTTGGGACAACCCTACCCATCAGTGTGCTGGAAACTGATTGCCTTTGGATTTATTGGGTAGCTCTAGGGGTGCTTCCAGCCAGAGGGGTCCTAGCACCAATCATCAGGATTTTTGATTTATTTCTTTTTATATATTACATTTTATAGCACCCAGTAACCAAGACTCTGTAGCTGAAATTATACATTTATTCCAGCTATCTTCCTTAATGAATTTTCATGGTAAGAAAAAAGAGGGAAGAAGCAGTAGGAAACTATGGGAGGGTTATGAAAGGAAGAAATAATTATTTAAAGTTCCCATATAATTGCATGAATGAAACAGGTTGATGGTATGATAAAAGACTCAAGTGGAAGCACCCTAGAATAAAAATAGATGCACCAATGTGTAACTTGACTTAGATTACAAAAAGTTTGAAACTTTAAATAAATCTATTACTTGCTAGTGTTCTACTGTAAATTCATAGGTTGTTTGACTAAAATAGTATCTAAAATCTGAGCTGTGCATTATTCAAATAATGAAGGCATATTGTTATTATAAAACATGTCATTCAGCGTAATACTTGGAGAATTCTTGACAAGGTAAGTGTATTCTTGAGACATTGCTTAATCCTTCCTCTTTTTTCCAGGAAATCTTCTAAATTAATTTTAGAAGATGTTTGTCTCTAGCAAAGCCTGCCACCCTGCATCTTCTTGCCTAGTTCACATCACGAAAATATCCCAAGCATCCAAGCACCCCTGTGCTATGATTTCCTTCAACTTAACCTTCTTATACCTTCCTTGGCTGGTTTAACTTAACTTTCTTTAACAGTAATTCTTCATAAAGCTATTTGGCTTCCCGCTTTTTGGCTTTTGCTAGAAAGATAGTTCTCCCCTAGGCTGTTCCCTTTCATTAAAATCGATATTGAATAGAAAACCCCAACATCTTGAACTTTTTTCAGATATGACTATGGAGGATGTTCGAGAATATGAGAAAAGTATGCATGAAAAAACCAACATTAAAGTTTGCAATCAACATTCATCTCCTGTGGATGAAATAGAGAGCCATGCCAAAGGAAGTGTATGTAGTTGTCTTTAAAAATATTGCCCACCATCTGCTAGTGCAAACAAAGGCCCCAAATACTGGGCTTTAAGTCAGATTCTACATTTCAATTATTTTTTTGGGAATAGACTTTGAACATTGCAAAGCATCATCCTGGATTCCTTGTGTGACATTTTCCAAGTGGAGATATGGAATTCCCAGTGCAAGGAACAATGTTTTGCAGCCACATATACTCATAATTTGAGCAATGCGCTCATTATAGAATCATGCATTTTGTTCAAACATACAAACGGAAACATCAAGCTCAGGGAAATCCCATTCTTTCTGTTCTGAGCTAGCTCTGGACAATGCTGATTGGGTGGTTCCTTGTGATGTCAGAAATGAAGCAGTTTTCATTTTTTTATTTTAATTGGCTGTATTCTGTCTGTGTTTTAAAGAAAGCCAGCAAGTATTTACAAGTGGGTAAATGTATACGCTTCCTTTTTAAAAAGGCAGCCATGACAAACTGGATCAGTGATTGATTTGCTAATTAAATTTGCCCTTTGTATTCCAAATGCAAAATGACTTGCCTACAAGGGAATGATGTGTTGTGGCTGTTTGTTTTTGCTTGTCTGAATCCAACTTTAGACCGCAATCCTATGTGTATTTAAAAAGAAAATAGAATGCTGTTCTACAACTTCCAGCATTCCCCAGCATGTCATGGCTGGCTGGTAAATGTTTTGCATGACTTTTTTCTGTCTAAATCTGCATAGGACTATTCCCTAGATATATTGACCTATTTCCTGTGAGAAATGAAAATGTCAAGTTACAGTTACTTTGATGCACCAGGTGTCAATTCTATATCCCAGCTTTCTCTGGCAATTGGTATGTTCTACAGAAAATGTGCTGGTACTGTCCTTTTCACCAATGTCTGTGGTCCGTTTAGATCAGAATCAGGCAACATGCACCCTGACCCAGCCGTTTTCCCTGAGAACAGACTCTGGGTTTTTTGTGCTTTAGGATAGCCTCTTATCAGCAGTCACCTTTGTGCACAAAAGCTCTATACAGCCGGGGTGGAATGATGCACAGAGTCTTGCTTTGGCTGCTTCAAGGCCACAAGAATGTGCAAACAGAAGAGAGCAGAGCAGTCACAATGGTCTCAAGAGGGTAAAAGGACGGCAGCTGGGATTAGGCCATGGATGCCCTGCTCTGCTCCATCACTGGTTGAACTGGCCTCAGTAGCAATTCATAGGCAAGGGACTGAAAACTAAGTCCTATGAAGGAACATGGAAGAAATTGGATATGCTTAGTTTTAGGCAGAGAAGATTGAGCGGAGATATTGTAGCACTATTCAAAACCCAAAGGGTTGTCACTCAGAAAAGGACTATAACCTGTACATTACCCTCGAAGACTATAGGGTGTGAAATGACAGGCTTAAGTTACAGGAGGGCGATTTTGATTGAACATGAGGATCTTTCTAGTGGTCAGAGCAGTCAGATAATGGAACTGAGTGCAAAGGGCAATGGAGGGCACTTCTCTGCTGGGCATATTCAAGCAGGAAGTGGACAGCTGCCTGTCAGGAAACCTTTAAACCGGATTCCTGCACTGAGGAGGGAGATGGACTCAACAGCCTAAGTGGCACCTTTGAGCATTCATGATTCTCTGTTCATTTGCTGCTCCACTTCTACCATTTTAAGTGGATTGTAATTTCCATACTGCTGTATTGCATTGTCCCATGTACTCTTCCCACGAGTACCCATGTACTCTTCTGCCCTTTACTATCATGTGGTTTGGCATCAAGTCAGCCACAGTGAGAGCCAGTGTAGTGTGGTGTAGCGATTAAGAGCACAGGTCTAGGACTCAGCCATGGAGCCCACTGGGTGACTTTGGGCCAGTCACAGACTCTCAGTCCAACTCCCTCACAGGGTGGTTGTTGTGCGGATAAGGTTGAGAGCAGCAGGACGAGAATGATGTAAGCTGCTTTGAGTCCAAGTTCGATGTCTTTCTGGGCCCTTGGATAACTTCATGACTTCAGTGAATCTACCTGCACACCACCATTGCCAGTCATTCTTCCTCCTCATCATCCTTTTTTCCCTTCATTCTTATTATTCACTTGCTTGACAGACAAAGCGCCAGTGAACAAGTAGGCAGTGGCATCTACTCCTTCTCCTTCACACCGTTGTACGGGTCAGAGTGAGAAACAGGTGGAGAGGGCTGCACTGGCGAGGAGCAGCAACTCCAAAGGGCTCTTGTCCACTCGGGTGTAGACCCTTGATAGGCACCCAGCCATGCCCACCCAACCATGATGCCCACCCTGCCTCATGGAAGCCTCATGATACTGATACTGTCATGTCTTCCAGTCTTATTCAGTACCTTTTCTAAAATAAGTGGAAGGTTATCTAATAGTAGGTTCTGAGCCACTTAACTGTAACTGGTGGTTATGCTCAGGAGGCTCTTAACAATTTCTGTTCAGCATCAATAGCTCTTGATTGCTTGACCTGCACTTCGATTGCGTTATTTGAGGCCATACTCAGTGTAAGAAAGCTGAAACTGAAAGCAACCTGTGGTTTGCCTTTGGTAAACAAATCCTTTCCTGGCATTCAAAACACTAACCTGGATTTGATATGAGCCATGCAAATCTCAGATGACCTTTTGCTGAACCCATCCTGAACGTTGAGTTGGTAGGGAGAAATAACCAAGAATCATGCTTTGGAATTTTCTACAGCAAAGGGAGACTGTGTTTCTAAGAAAGGAACACTGCCCTCCTGTGGAATTATGCCACAATGTCTAACTGATATTTTATTGTGCTTCTGAATGAAAACCCATGGCCTTAAAACAAGGGAATTCTTGAATGTGTTCTGTAACAGCCATTATTGAATTGAGCAGTTCCTTCAGTTTTATTATGCTTACTAGCTGAATGTTAAGATAACTGTGAGTATTGTCAGTATATCAGGGGAAAAGAGATTTTTTCCCAACCGCTCTTCTAACTCGATGTGGATCTGAATTCTTTATGTGACTTTATATATAACAAGAAACCACCTCCTTGTGGTGACCACCATTTTGAGAATTGGGGTGTAATAGGGGTGTATTGTACTTTCTTGCTACATGCAAACCCAGTAAGGGTAGGTTATTGGGTGATTGACAAGCCACTTACGGCCCTGATACAGTCCACAGGTGCTAGGTGGCTTGTCAGCAACCCCACAACCCACCCTTGCCAGGTTTGCACATAATGAGAATCTACAGTACGTGCCTGCTACACCCTGAATACTCAAATGGTGGATGCTGCTGCAGTGAGAAGCCCTGCAGGGAAGTTTACCCATGGGGACTTACTATGCATGAAGCTGGCAAATGACATCTCTGAGCTAGACCAGATGGACTGCCACATTTTCTTCAATGCTATACTTCTGCTGATACATGTATTTAACCATTCATGAGAGCATGACTCCAACAGAGATGTGAAAAAAATTCTAGAATGGCAGGGTTTCAGTCATTCACAATAAGCATCTTTTCGTAGTGGTTGGTCTTGTCATTTCTTCATCATGGTCTCCATGCATCACACATATATGGGTGTTGCGCCTGCGCAGTGCCTGTTGCCGGGAAGATTTAAAAGCATTTTGGTCTTTATACAGAGAAAAACACTTACATGCTCAGGTGGTCAACCTTGTCCTTGTTTAAGTGAGGACAGGCTTGGGGCAGAGGTAGAAGAAGCCCATCATGTATAGAAACAAAAGATTTATGCCAACATGAGAAATTAGGGGGGGTTTGCCCCAGGAGGTCAGTATGCTGGGGTGGGGGGGTCCAACAACTCTTAAGTATGAGATGAATGGTAATGTCTAAAATGTAGCTCCTGAAATTTCAGTGAGCACTTCTGATAATGATGGCCAGAATGCCAGTTACCCTTGGAATTCTAAGACAGACATATTTATGCTGTGAGGGGAATGCATCCTTAGGACTATTACTGGAATAAAAATGCAGTTGAAATAAGCTTATACAAAGTTCTAACATTAATATGTCTTTCTTTTCTTCTCATTTGAAGACATGACTATGGATGAAGTCCGAGAGTATGAACGAGCAACTCAGGAAGCCACCAACAAGAAAATTGGGATCTTCCCTCCTGCGATATCAATCTCTAATATCTCCCTCCCTTTTTCCATCCGCAGTGCTCCTTCTAGTGCTCCTTCTACACCTCTATCCACAGATGCGCCCGAATTCTTAGCAGTTCCCAAAGACCGACCACGGAAAAAATCTGCCCCAGAAACTCTCACACTGCCGGATCCAGACAAAAAGGCTCTCTAATCCCAGCATGTTTTCTTATGACAAGCCATGACTGACAGAATAGCATTGGCAAAGCTCATGGTTGTTGCTTTATTTAAACAAATTTTCATTGGTCTGGAGGTATGCCTCCCCCCCCCACCCCACTCAGGCTGTCCCTTAAACTAGTTAGCTAAATGCATGCAAGAACATAGTTCATGTGCTCTGATCCCCAAACTAAAGCTCTAAGCCATATTGATGATGTTGCTATCAACAAAGAGTGAAATTGCTTGCAAATCAAACAAAAGATATTCTGATATGTAAAATAATATTTACAACAGAAGATGTTACAGGAAATTAATCAAGCTGGCAAGGACATCTCAAGAGAATGAGGTCCTGTTTAAAGACAGGTTCAAATGACAACATTTCTCATTTCAAGCCATTATATTTCAATTTCTAAAATCCTTTTTACTCTCAGGCCAAGTGCACCTTAAAGTAAACCTTTGAACTGCTATTTGCTGATCAACACTTGAATACCAACAGTAATTATTCAGATTCCTGTTTTACTGAATATAACTCAGGATTTGGGGTATAGCTAATGCACACTTTAAGCTTTTCAAAATTAAAGAACCAGTGTGCTACAGCTCTGGGCTGTAAGTCATTTTGCTTATTTTGAGACCCTCGAACTATTTGTATCTTCCACAAAATTTGTAACTCCTTTTTATTGTGTGCTGTTGTATAGCTTTTCTGTGTTGGTATTTGAGTGTCTTGTTGCAGGGAGAAAAATGGGAACATAAGCAATGAATTAGCCTACAATGCCTAGTCAAATATGGTTATCCAAGCCCAAGGCTGATGGATTCAAACTGCCAGAACTTCTATGAAACCTGCTAAAACTCCTGATTCAAAATCCCATTAAAACTTAAAAGGAGAAATTCAATCCATTTTTCACAAGGTTGTGATGAGGCATTAAGCTATTCTAGGCTATAAAGTTTCCCCTTCTGCTAATGAGAGATGAATGGTCAGCAGCTGAGTTGACATTTTGCAGAAAGCTTTGTTAGTCTATTGCAGAAAAACAACAGACCTGTGGCACCTTAAAGAGTAGCACATTGTAGCACATCTTTAAGACGCCACAAGACTTTCTGTTGATGTGACAGATCTGCTTGATGTAAGAGAATGTGCCTATCTAGAGTAGGGGTAGGGAAATAATGGCAGACCTTGGGACAAATCAAGATTTCTGAGGGGTGTTGCCTAACAGCTCACTTAACAAACCATAGAAAGAGCTTTCAGGCTAGAAAAAGGAGCGGCAGCAGCAGAGAGGCAAACAAGAAAGGGAGCCTTTTAAATTTACTAGCTTCCTTTTCTCTATCTTCACTATCATATGTGGCAATGGGCTACTTCAGCTCTAGACAAAATGAACAGAGTATTTTAACTGGTAGACCCTGGTTTGTTTCATCCTGTCATTGGAGAGAAGCTTCCAAATGAGGAAAAATGATTTTTTTTTCCTCAGAGATTTTTTTAAAGATCTCTCTGCCACCTGAAAAAGGTTATTCTCTTGGCCATTCATCTGCCTGAGTTAATAATAATTAGAAGGCAGGGATAAGGGGAGCATTCAGTAGGCGCCCCGAGGCTTCGGCGAATGGGGCGGCATAAAAATGTTTTAATAAATAAATAAATAAATACCCTAAAACCAGACATCAAGGTCAGATAGGATTTCCTATGCTGAAATTCCCATGACAAGACAATAATAATGCATTGTGATGCTGCTTCATGAGTAAAATTTTGAAAAGAGCTCTTAACAGCCTAAACTACCTCAGCCAAATGCGGTGGAGAGGTATATAAGCCCTTGTTCTGTTCAAGACCAGGAGAGGCCCAGTTTCAGCTCATCAACAGGAGAAATACAGAGAAGGGCAAGTAAAATGATCAAGGGGTTGGAACAACTTCTGGGACTTTTAGCTTAGAAGAAAGGCAAGTAGAGGGGGACATGTTTAAAATTATGCATGGTGTGGGGAAAATGGAGAGGGAGGCATTTTTCTCCTCCATATAATACTAGAACCCAGATCATCCCATCTAGTTTATTCATGGGAGGTTTTGGACAGGAAGTACTTCTTCACACAATGCATAGTTAAATTACGGAATTTGTTGCCACATGAAGTAAAAATAGCCACCCATTTGGATTACTTTGAAAGGGTTATGGACAAGTTCATGGAGGAGGAAGCTAGCAGTGGCTGCTAGCCTTGCAGACTATATTCTGCCTCCATTATCAGAGGTGCCATGCCTGCTTACACCAGCTGCAGAGGAACTTGGACGGGCAGAATTCTTGTACCCAACCTGTTGGAGGGATCCCATGGGCACCTGCTTTGCCACCATGTGAATGAACTGCTGAACTGGATGAACCATTGGTCTCATCCAGCATGGCTTTTCTTATGCTCTAGATAATGACCATGATCACCTAAGACCAGCATGTTTTATTTAAGTCACAAGAAGTTGTGGTGTGTGCCAGCAACCATTATGATATTCAGCCCCTGGCAGTTTTTCCATGACATGTCAGATTGTTCAAATCTGGATTACCAGCATTGTTTGAGGAACAACCCTCAAAAAACTCATGGTGCATTTCAGTAGCATGACAACCCATGGAAGCCTTCCACTGGACACTGAATATTTAAAATGCCTATTATGTGCTTGTAACTTATTTGAACCATGGTGGACCAAGAGGATCATGTGAACCAGGTTAGTGACTGACTGGCAGATTGCCAAATACAAGGAGGAAAGTGAAACCTTGTGTAATTTAACAAATTGATGGAGAAGTTGCCGTTCCGTCTTTGTTTTACAAAGTACAACAGCATTCCAAAAGTAATGTGGAAATTTTCTATGCCTGGACTTCTTCCAGAAACAAGGTAGCCTGCTGTCTGCTTCATGAGCTGTTTCCTTGATGTTAAATATCTTTTCCAACAAGCAAGGTAGAATTTTAGAGGGGATTCTTCTTTTGGCTCTGGTAAACAAGGGTTTAGGTATCAGTAGTGTCTTGTCATACAGTTGGGAAAGAGATGAGCTCGCCCTGGCCTGTTACCCCTCAATCCATCTTCAATGTCACAAATTACCTCCCCATATTATAATTAAAGCAAAAAAGGGGAGAAAAGAAAAAAATCAGTAGCCCTGCTTATTCCTGACATTAATTGTCCCACTACTGTACAAGTGTTGAAGACATGATAGAGGACAAAACTATGTTTAGCCATTTCCTTTTACTAATGTTCTTGGTAATTAGCCCTGCTCAAGTGCATCAGGCCTTGCTGCACAGAACTTGTAGCAGGGTTGTACTCTTGTACTCTCAGAGGCATATACAAATATGCATACAGACTCCAGGGTGTTAAAACTGTCTTTGAATCATGGAAAATGAGTGAATACATTCCTAGCAAGCATGGTAGCATGATTTAAATCCCCCACCATCTTTCAAGTGGCTTTTTGTTTAATAGTTTGTTTCTAAGGTGACTGTTTAGAAGGGTAGTTTTTGTTATGGAAGGTTGATGTGAAATGTGAGAGTAGACTATACTGTGTGAATTTGAAAGCTTCCAAAACTAGTAGTTCTAATTCAGTACTTGATATGCCACTACTTAGCTTCATACCTTCTCTCTCTTATTGTTCATGTTCTCATTTTCCCCAACACCCAGATGTTCTGTGTGATTTTTTTCCTTATTATCACAAGCTATTGTGTGTGTATGTGTGTGGGGGGGTGTTATATAAATCTACCCTGAATCAGCATGTGGCTATAGGTAACAGACATATGTACTACTATCAATTTACTTGTGATCAGTTCGCTAGACAAAGAAATTTATGTTGCTCTCCTTTCATATGTTTTGCACAAGTCAAGTGACAAGACATTAAACAGGTTTTACCGTGTTGGCTTAGTTTTAACTGTCTTACTTCCTACTGTATTATTGTGTTACTTTGGCTTGGGAATATGATCAGGCATCTGTAAATGAATAACTTATCTTAAGAAGATGCTTGTTAAAAGACTGCAAATCAGAAACAGAGGAAAATAATAGCATGTGATGGAAAAAACAATGAACTTTTCTAAGATACCTCCTCTACTTAATGTTCTAGCTATAAGCATATGTTCAAGTAGATGTGCTATCAAAATTTGGTGCTTATTGAATGGACACAAAAAGTTTGATTCCACTGCATGTCTAAATGATGGCTAGCACAATCCATATCTGCCTCCTACCCTCTATTTTTATATTAGTGGGGGCTAACAAATAAAAAAATTCTACATTTTTGGAGTACAGACATGACAATATATCCCATGCTTTTCACTGACCATGCTAAAATCCTCTCACTCTCTATTTCCTCCATTTGCATTTGCCATTATCTTACCAAATTTTAACAACTTTTTATTTTCTTTTTTGTCATTCTATGACATTTGTATATAAAGTATTTCCAACATGAGAGGAAAAAGTAAGTTCAATTCCTAGCATATCTTTGTTGCACTAATATGTCTTGACATCATACTCAGGCAAAATATTAATCTAAAAAGAGTTTTATTTAAAGTTGTACCTTGAAAATCTTAGTAATGGTTGCTCAAATTTTCCTGTAAGAAACATCAGAGTGCGCACACCAATTATGTTTGCCAGGTAATATGTAGATGGTATATTGATGCCTTTAAAAATTCATGTAAATTTAAAAATTCCGTGTAAAAATTCATGGAAACCTTCATTGGACCCAAGAGTGTTTAAAGACTGTTACCAGCATGTTTTGTTATAGGAAATACTATTCTACACAAACAAATTGTGATTGTCAAATAACCTGTCAAGCTGCTACAGGATAAAGTTGATTTCTGTTGCTCTTCACTCCTGAGTAGACATAACTCCTGCTGGTTTATACCACTGACTACATGTTTGCGTATTACATCTACTTCATCTTCCAGGCTGTGGTCCTCAGACAATTTATTGCAGGAGAAAACCATTGGAGTGGTGCTTTTCTGGAACAGATGACTGGAAACTGCATCTTCAATCAGTTTCCCTTACACAGATTTCTATTTAGTAGCTGTTTCATCATTTGAAAGCTTTGTTAACGTAAGAAAGGAAAGCAAGTGTTTTAATTTGAAGAGCAAAAGCTACACTGATGTAATGGTGGCTTTGATCCAAAGGTGCTCTGATATGAACAGAAGGGTTTCATTGACTCTCCCCTCCCACTACTTCCCTCCATACCATTCCCCATTTGCTTCTGAAGATCCCCAGGACAATATGGGGGCAGAAATGGAAAGGAAGAGTCAGAAGGGCCCACTGGGCAAACAGAATTCCTTTCATGCAGCTTTTGATCCAGGCTACTGTGATTTGCTGCACTGAAATTTAAAATGTGCTGTCATTTAAAATATATCAAATGTATTCATATCTGCAGTAAATGCAATGGGAGGATACATGATCTTGTTAATAGGAACTCTCCCGTCTTTATTCAGACTTAACTGAGGTGTCTTGTTTCATAAAGACTTAAAGCTAAACTACTTTTGTTCTCCCCTGCCCACTGGTGTAGACAGCATGTTCTTTGGATTACAGTTGTCTCTGATTTTTGAATGTTACTAGGAATGAGTTTTATTTCATTTCTGTGCCAATCCTTGTGACTTTGAATGTTGTGTATACTATTAGTGTTTTTGCTGATAGGGTTAGTGTTACATTGGTTAGATGAGTTAGTTCCATGAAAGAAGGACCAAGTGCCCCAAGTTTAACAATACAAAGCTGAATCAGAGTTACCATGCACACCACTTAATTGTTGCTTTTCAGTTATTTATTATTGTTGTTTTTAAAACAGCCTTTTCTTACATTCTGTTGTAAATAAATTACTGATCAATCTTCTTTCCAAGACTGTTTGCTTTCTTTCACTAAGTTCATGCAACAAGATGCAACTTTATCTTTACTTAAGGATTTTCCTTCTACGGAACTGGTCTGTGGAAGCCTAAACCAGATTAACTGATCATTATGGAACGTCCAACAGGGTGTCCTGGAGGACACAAGCAAAAGAGGGCTAGTGCACTCAGGTCCCACATGTAGGTTTTCCCACAAGCAACTGAATGGTCACTGGAAAACCTGAAGAGTTTCTATATTTTATATGTATTACCAGCAGAGCCTAAGAAGTCTTATAAGATGGAGACATCAGCTTATTTCTATAGTCATTGATGGGTGAATCAGTCAAAGACCTTGTGTGCCCCTTTTCCATTTACTGTATTCTATTTGGTCATTCATAAGGAAATCAGGGTGAGAATTTTAGAACAGCTGAATATATTACAAAGCTGCATCGTATTTAATCAGGCCATTGATTTATCTACCCAATACTGTCTACTACTCTGACTAGAAATAGAGCATTGTACAGATATGCTTGTATGGACTACTGATTGCAATTTAATCACTAACAGCACAGCCTGGTGACCCATAAATGAAATGTTTGAAGTCTGGGTTCTGACACCGGAGGTAGGACTTTATGCTTGAAGCACTGCACCCCACAACTGACATGAAATAATAGTGCCAGTTGTTTCTCAGAGATTATGGGTGATCTCAGAGAAGGGTTGGGGGACAGACCAGAGGAGACTAATACCATGAAAATACATGTATCTTAGTGGTGCTTCAAGCTCCTTCCATCCTGCTCCTAAGTGCAGCAGCTGAAATCAGCTGCCTAACCACTTTGCAGGGTGGGAGAAGCACAGTGGTGCCTTTATTTATTTTATTTATTAAAACATTTCGATGCCGCCCCTTGCCGAAGCCTCAGGGTGGCTCACAACACAAAATAAAATACAATAAAATACAAAATAACAATATAAAATTAACAATATAAAATAAATAATATAAAAGAAGTCGCCCTGCCCAGATAAATCAGCAGATATTGTTAACAATTAAAATGACACTTAAATAAAAAGGTCTTTGCCTGGCGCCGAAAATTTACCTTCATGTTCCTCCCGCACTACATAGGTTGCCCATAATCCTCTGAATTCAAAGTGTTGGGGGTATCGCCATAAGAATGCACCCTAACAGCACGACCTTATGCACGTTTAGACAGGAAAAGCTCTAAACCTCCCACAATTGTTCAGCCAGCATGAGAATGATGGAATTTCTGTTTCAGTATTCTGCGAAAACATAACAGTAATATTCTCTCTGGTCTCTGACACTAAAATACAGAGAGCTCTAAAAGCCTTGAGAAGAGAAGACTGAGGTGGGGACATCATATCACTTTATAAGTACCTCAAAGGCTGTCACATGAAGGAAGGAAGATCTCACTGATACCAGAGTGTAGAACACGGAATAATCGAGCCCACTTGCGACAACCCAGCTTCAGGCTAAATATCAGGAAAGGTTTCCTCACTATCGGAGCAATACGACAGTGGAACCAGATGCCTAGAGAGGTGGTGAGCTCTCCCAGACTAGAGACATCCAAGGCAAAACTGGACCATCATCTAAGTGGAATGGTGTAAACTGGAGTCATGCAACAGCAGGAGATTGGCCCCAGTGTCCTTCTTGGCTCCTTCCAACTCTGCTATTTTATGAGTCTATGAAGTGGTAAAAAGTCGCATAGACAACACTTCCATGAAGGAAAGCATGTGCAGTCTGCATGCCGAATGAAAAGCCAGGATGCTGTACTGTTTAATGTGTTAGACTGGAACTTTAAAGATCCATGTTCTAGTTGCCACTCATACATGATGCTCACTGGATGACTTTGCACTAGTCACTGACATGTAGACCAATCTATCTCAAGGGGATGTTGTTAGAATAAAATGAAGAGAAGGAAAAGAGATGCTGGTAATTGGATGGCACACAAATTTCATAAATAAATAAATACCAATCTAAGCTGTGCTGCATTCATTGCAAGAATATAATGGAAGGGATGAAAATGTAATTTTAAAAAATTAAAATGTATGCATGCCTGTTTTGTTGTGTTGGCAAGCTCTGACTGGCTGCAGTTTTCCATCACATAGCAACATGCCACATCTGCAATCTTTATGGACTATCTACTTTTTCCTACAAGTTAAGCAATGTGAATTTATCATGTCTGAAGCAGCTCTGGCCATTGGTTAATAATATGTTTTGCAGCAATTGCCACCGGGTTATACAACGATATTCAGTCAAATTGGTAATAACCCTGCTTTGAAAGAGAAATGTACACTCTTCATTTAAAAAGATGAAATTGATTTCTATGGAAGTTAAAGTTGTATACTTACAAATAATATCAATAATAACAGATGATAACCACCTTCAACCAGTTTTATCTGCTAATGAAACAAAATAAATATAATTTTGAAATTACAAAAATGTGTACTTCATTTCTGAAGCCATTCTTTTATCAAATGCAGCAGAACTTATGTTCATTTAAATGAATCCTCTTTGGCATGATCAGCCATCCATATGACTGTTTGAAGAGCTGAGGGGAAAATCATATGAATATACATAGGTGTATGTATATATATATATATATATATATATATATATATAAAATACACCAAAGAAAATTCTGAGTCTGCAGTCTTAACATATTCCTAATTGGAAATATGTAGGCGTAGCCTTACCAGATGGAAAAATGAAGCAGCCACTCTGATGGACAGGTTTCAAGTAAAATTGGCAAACAAAAAAGTTTATATTGTTTGTAAATAAAAACAGGATTCCCAACTTATAATGTACATTTCGTTGAATGTACATTATCTACCTCACCGAATTAACCATTTCTGAAATGATTTGTGCCAAACTGGCCCTAGGACTCTGCAGTGAAAGAACTTAATATCTGGGAGAAGGTTTTTTTCCACACAGCTCTTCTGTCACTACTACTGCTCATGACACTGTACAGTGGTAATAATATCCACAGTCATAGCTATAAATGGTTGAAATTTATTTACACATTTATATGCCACCCCTCTATTATCAAAAATAGATTAAAACTTGCAGTTTAAACGGTCAACCACTAACTTATTCTGAGAACCAATTGTACCAGAACTTAACCCTAAACTTGTTCCACAACTCAGCATGGAACATATGACATAATAAACATACCTAGTGGCTAAAAGTTTGCCTGGTGCCCACAAAACAGGAAGTTACCAATTTGAAAGTCAGGTTTCCTCTGAATCCACCAGGTGGCATTAGCAAGGCACAATCACTCACCTCATTCTCCCATCTCAAAACGCTACACTAATTTATATAGCTGTTGGAAGGATTACAAAATAATGAGCGTAAAGCATTTTGATCAATCAAACTGCGTGATGCATGCCAGTATCAGCTGCTCCTAACAAAAATCTCATCTGAGGAGGGCCAACAAGAGTGTAGCCATAACAGCACAACTGAGAAGCAGGAGGAAGGGCTTGACATGCTGGGGGAAATTACTCAAATTTTAGAACCGCCATCTCTCATACAGCAAGGGAAGGCCAGGGGGTGGGGAGAAAGAAGAATGTGTCTTTTAACCATGCCTGACTTCTAAAACTTACCTTCTTTTTGGCAGACTTGAACATTACTAAAACACTTCTATCCCAGCTTTTTGGAGGTTTGAACTGGAACACTTCTAGTGAGTGGAGATACAGTGCAACTTTTGTAGCAGGTTTAACTTGTTACTCTAACTGGTTTAGAGACTCTTTCCCAGCCCTGCTACAATCCATTATTGATATTCCCTTATGGCAGTGGTGGGCAACCACTTTTTTTTCTAGAGGTCAAACCAAGTGAATAGGTTGGGTTATGTCAAGGGGTAGTGGGAGAGGTGAAAGTGAAGTCTGCGGGCGAGAAGCATGCTGAAAAACATCCATCCCACAGAAAATGTGAGTACATCCAAAATTTTGTAATTACAAATTTCAAAGCTTTCAATTCCTATGTAATTTCAAAGCTTCCAAAGTAGAGGAAAGAATAGTTAAGTGTCAGAATACGCCATAACTTCTAACACTGGCATTGGTTCATGGAGCTGTGGCAAATAGGCATGGCATAAAAATTGATGTGCCAACTCAAATGAAAGCCTAAATATCCTTTTTATTAAATATGGCATCATTTTATTGTATATATACATCAGGGACATGGACAACAATATTTCTGAAAGTCTTTCATAAATCTATGGAAAACAGGCTGAATATAATGCATTATGAGGAACCATAATGAGAATCTTCAAGAACCCAACATATTCCACCTGTAAGTGTACAGTAAATGAAAGGGTAGCACATGTTAAATGTCCTGCAATTTATCAATAACCACATTTACATTCAATGTATGGTTACCTATGTATCTGAAAAAACAAAAGTTTTGCATTATCTTAACATTATCAGATTTGTTATAATAGCTTTCACTGAATCAAGACCAAATGCTCCAGCTCGATCTAGCCACCAGTACTGCTTAATGTTCAAGAGAATGTATTTAATATAGACGTTTTAATCTAGAGCGAGTTAATCAAAGTCAGTTTAGTCTAGAACAAAGAACTAAGTTTTGTTTATATATTATGGGCATGGCCCTTCCACACAGGGCAGTATTAATGGTGGGATCTGTAACTTAATGGGGTTATAAGCCACCTTGAGGCTGCCAGTGTGCTTAAATGGCTAGTCTTGCAGTAGGACCAAAGGGAAAAAATTTCCATGCAGCTCGAAGAACCATGGATGACGTGGGACAGTCATTCTCTCACTTAACACTGCCTACCTCACTGGGTTGTTGTGAGGATATAAGGGGTACGAAAAATAACTATGAAGATCACTGCTAACTCTTGGAAGAAAAGGGATAAAGGGGAAATGGCGCCAAGGCGCGAGGCAAAGGGATAAATCCCTATGGGCCTATGCTAAAGGAACGCACCTCGACTCTTTCGATATTTGAGGGGCGGCTTGTCCGTCTGCCACTCAACTGCTGACCCTTGTCATTCTTCAGGACCCTTATGGGGCTCCATGTTTTCTCAGCATCACGAAAACTCGGCTTCCAAACGTCCTATTTTTGGGCTTGAACTCTGAATTGCACGTTGTCGGCGCTCCCTTTTCCCGCAGCTCGCGGGAATGAAGGCGGCCTGAGCCGAAACTAACCGCCTGCCATTCCCGCGTCCCTTGGCAACCAATCGGGATTACGCCGTTCACCACCGGCGGGCGACTCAGTCAATCCCTGCAACTCCTGGGCTTGTGCGTAGGAGGCGCTGCGGAGTCTCCCGAAAGCGGAAGGTGGCTGCTCCTGCGCGCCGCTCGTTCTTCCGTCTCGGTTGTTCGAATTCCCGCCCCTTCCCTTTCAAGCTTGGAGGGAGAGAAGAGAGTGGCTCGTTCTGACGCAGGCGTACTGCATTCTTCCGGTTGGACCGCCTCCGGCCCCAGTTCTCGCGCGGCCTTCAAGATGGCGGCCTTCTGCGAGGGTTTCACGCTGTGCACCTTGCCGGGGGCTCCCGCTCACGCCCCGCTGGGGCTCGAGCCGGACGCGGACCGGGTGCTGCTCACGGACCGAGGCCGGACGGTGACGTTGTATAAGGTAGTGGCAACCCTGCAGGCGACGCGCAAAGCCGGATTCGGAGGCCCGTGCCGTGTTGCGCCGCGTGCACGGGCGGAGGGTGTTGCTGGGGGCGAGAGAGAGTGGCAGGCGAGGCGGAAAGGAGGGGAGTCCTCTGTTCTTTAGATCGGGGACGGTGTGCCCGGAGCTACGTGTTGGTTCTGTTTGGATGGGCTTTTGAATGGGATGGGGCTGGGGAAAGCAACCCTAAAGCAACTCTTAACAGTTTTTCGTTAAGTTTTTATTAACTTCTGTAACAGATGGCATTTAGACTTCGTCGAATCTTGGATTAATATAGAGGTGGCTAGCTTGCTTTTACTGAAACTTATTCGTGGTTTTTCTACTGGGGGCAGGCTAGACATGCACATGGTGGGCATGTGAACGGAGCCGGCTGGAGCCAGGGGTCAGACTAGGTGGCCCGGGAGACCCCTTCTGACTTTCTATGTTTCTATGTGTTTTCGTATGTAAAACGGGGGTGTTTAAACGCCATAGGTATTGATTGCTACTGATCTAGCTAACGCTTATGCAACGTTAAATATGTTAATATTCTTATTGCTTCCGGCTTCGCTACAAGTCTTTTAAATTCACAATAAATTATAAGTATGCACAAGTCATTTTATGAGACTTGATGTGGCCCAAGTCCAATAAGTCGTGCCCAAATAGGCCGTTTGAAAACAACAGCTCTGTTTTTGCACCAGCTGCATTGGTTTAGGATCAGGTTATTTGAAGCACTGCCTTCATCATTGTAGCTCTAGCTGTATGTTTAAATTTGCTTTTGGGGAATCTATCATAAGTGTCCATCATGAAGATTGTTCAGGTTTGTGTGCACAATAGAGAAGGCATTCTTGGTGGTAGTCCCAAAACTGTCAAATCCTTATCTTACTGATTTATACTTTCGAACATTGTCTTTAATCTGAGATTGTAAGTAATTTGTCAATCTAAGAGCAATTTCTTAATGGTGTATTTGCACAAATGGTAAAACATAATTTAAGATTACATACATGAATTAAGGAAGCCTAGCAGCATATGCTGCTAGCAGGATCTAAAGAAGGGATAAATGAGTCCTCAGTTTTGTTTGAGCTGTTTCCTTGTTTACCTTAGCATGCACAGCAAAAATTGTGACTTAAATTAAATTAGATTGTTAAACCAACCAGAAAAAAAGTGGTACAGGGTTTGAAGTTTGCCCTGGGACAACATCCTGTGATATTTCTGATTCTTGTATGTGCTGGTGGGGATTGGAAGGGGCTGTTGATATCTGAAGTCCAAAAATATCAGCTAGGTACCAGGATATGCAGAAAGGCTGTATTAGTTTTTGTAATTCCTGGTAAGCCTGTAACAAGGAATGTTATGACAGAGCATGGGAGTTTCTTTGGTAGAAAAATGAATATTGTTGGTCTTCAGTTCTGAGATCATTATTAGAGCTTTAGGAATGTAAGGAAGTTCAAAGGAGTATGCACATTAAATGGGGAGATCCTAACATCCTTGCAACTGAGAGAGTGCTGATTGCTCTGTATTAGGATTAATCTTGCAACATTTAATGGCTCTTGATAAAATCATGCGTTATATGCCTGAATATATATTTTTAATTGTGCTGAACAGTTTTTGAATAGATCATTTAATATGACTTGCACTGAGGGGCAAGTGCTACAGGGGAAGGGTCTTTTCAGCAGTAGCACTCTGGCATGGAACCTGCTCCCTACAGAGATGCACCTGGTGCACCAATGCTTTATTCTTTTCCACATTAGGCCAAAACCCTTTTATTTAGCCAGTATTTTAAGGGATGACTGCTTTCTTAGATAACTGGAATTATTTTACTGCATATTTGACTATTGTATCTGTATTTTAATTGTGCTGTTATATTTTTGGTTTGTAAGCCATCTTGAGATCTGTTTCAGGTAAAGATGGGATAGAAATGTTTTAAATAAATAAATGATAATACTTGATTATTTTGGCTCTTTTTAAAGGTTTCCGATCAAAAACCTTTGGGTTGCTGGTCAGTCAAACAAGGACAAACAATTACATGCCCAGCTGTGTACAATTCTGGAACAGGAGAGTTTATTGTTGTCTGTGATGACAAGGTATGAATTCCTATTTGACTGAAAGTATCTGAAATTATATGGGAAACTTGTTGAATATGGCCAACCTCCTTGTGCTGGTATTCTGACTGGAATACGGGGAGCTGCTTTGGACAAGCTGAGTTTTCACAAAATGACCCCCCACCCTGGCAATTTGCGAATTGGGACCAACAAACATTTGGGCTTACCATGGGTGTTTTACTCCCTCCTATTGTGAGCCAGGTTCCCCTCTTCTTCACACTTCCAAGACACAGAACATTCTTTGGCAAAGTACTTTATTCTCCAGTGCACTTCCAGCAAGCACAACCAACGAAGAATTAATCTCTGAACATGCACAGAGTAGTTCATTACACCCAATTTAGCAGCTATTTCCAAGCATCCTCCTTTTGCATATTCCTGGGACCCTTTCCTGAGAGACAAGCCTCTTCTCTGTCACACCTCTAGTTGGTCAGCCCATCTCTCCCAACATCAGGTCATAGAGTAAGTAGTCATGCCAGTCTTGGCTGGCTGCAGGAGTTTTTCTCCCATAATCCCACAGTGCAGTTGTAAACCCAGACTATTCTCAATGCTTGTCTGAAGGGAAGAGTGCCCTTGAGATAAGGCCCTTTGCTTTTCCCATTTTAGTGTCTGAGAATTCTGATTCCCAGGGCCCCTCATCACCGACAAGTCTGTATCTTCCTGAGCTACGCACCAAGAATAACTGTCCCATTTCAACACCTCCCTCCCTCCTGCTCCTTTCCTTCATTCCACCACAAGTATTCCAGAGAACACCACAAAGAGGAATTAGTTTTTCTGGTATCTGCAATTACAAGCCAGTTTTGGTTTGCCAGAGCTGTCCCTTTATTTTTTAAATTTATTTATTTTTTCCTGAGATGGTGAAAGCTGACTGGAATTGGCTTTCAGTTTCTGCTTATGAAGCAGTTACAAGCCGCCCCTTCAGAATGCTGCCTGACACTTTGCGGGGGCTGCCCATGCCTGCCCACTGTGTTCTAATAGTTCCCCCTCCCTACATTGCTCAAACAGGACTCATTCCCTGAAGTAAGACAAGAGCAAATTCCAGCCTCAGATGAGACAATATGGACTGGGGTGTTTCTTCAAAGGGGGCAGTGGGCATCCCGCTCCACATTCTTTTATTTGAGGCTGGAAGTTGCTCCTGGTGTCTCAGGAAATGAGTCCTGTTTTGGGGATGATTTTAAAAACTTTTTTTGTTCCCATTCTGAAGCACAGTTATATTAATTAAAAATGTCAAGAAGCCCCTCCAAGGAACTGCAGGGCATTTTGAAGGGGTGGCTCATGCCTGCCTGTTAAGAAGATACTGCTTGCAGGTGCTTTATCTGGCTTTCCAAAAAATAGTTAAAGCAACAGGCCATGATTGCCAGATAAAGACAGCTAGTGATTGCATGGGGAGAGGGGACAGTCTGCCAACATTCCCACCCCCTGTGCTGATTGGGAGTCACCAGACCTTTTTAGATAGAGGGGCAATTACTTTTTGCTGTTCTTGCAAACAGGCTGGCTTGCTGTTGTGCCTTGCCCTCGTGGATCATATTGCCAGGGTTCCACACTACAATGAGCCACAGAGGGTGGTGACGACAGTAGAACAGCCAACAGGCACTGCAGTGGTGAAAGAGCCCCTGTTTGTAGTGCACAACAATCTACCTATGATGGTACATGATGGTGCATTGTTGTGTTTCCTGAAGCAGGTCATTACATCAGACCATTGGGTTGGTACATTTAACCAGTGCAGTTGACAATAGCTGAGGGCACAAATAACATGAGACAATGCTCCACAGCATGGCATCTCACCTTCTGTCCTGAGGTCACACATTCTTACAGTATCTGCTCTTGAATAGTGTCCCATAGTATCTGCTCTTGAATGTGGCAGCACATATCCCATCAGCCCCTGGGAAACAATCACACATGTAGTGCTCCTGTGTACTCTGCCTGCTTCTCCATTGGCGCACATACTCTGCTGGACATGTTCTCAGCCAGCTGCTGCCCCCCCCCCCCCCAGCCCACTGTTCCACAGAGCCACCATCTCTGCATTAGAGCAGAACAGGCTTCTCCAGGAGCGACAGAGCAGCACCCTGCATGGCTGCTACACTCAATGGCCATGCATAAGCACACACCAACCCACCTCTTTTCTCACAGGATTGGCACATGCTGCAGCCCAGCACATGGAGGACAGCAGCATGGGCACTGGTGCCAGAGACAGAAGAGCATGCCCTGCTGGCCAGACTTCTGGGGCTTGTGAGGAGTTTCCTGGATTGCCAGAGACTGGGTGGGAGTGGGGCAGAACCTGGGAGGCCCAGGCTTCCAGGAATGCTTACCCTGGTGGTGTTGCCCCACACTGCTCACACACTCCTAGCAAGCAGAAATTCTTCCCTGAAAGGAGAATGGGGCTTCCCTATGTAGCACAACAGCAGCAAACTTCCAGAGCACCGCTCTAGCACAGGGCAGTAACCAGGCAGGAGCACCACACACAGCTGTCCTACAGTGGCTGCTGCTCAAGGTGCTTCCAGTCTTCTCTGCCAATGTGCGTTCTCCAATGCCATCACCCCACTGCCATGCCCTGTGATGCCTCGCCATGATGCCCTGCTACTTTCCCCCCATGACGCCTGGGCATCACAGTGGCAAAGCATTGCAGTGGAGTATGGTGGGTTGTCATGGCAGCGGGGCATTGGAAAGCATGCTTCAGCAGGGGGCGTGGAGGCAGCCAGTCGGCACTCTGCTTCTACAGCTCAGCAGTTGCTAGGCAAAACAGTCCATGGAAAACGGGGACTGCCGTGCCTGTTGCAGCCAGGGCCAAATTCACCAGCATAAATGAGGAAATCACACAAACACTTTCCAACTTCAGTTATACATAATGACAAGCAATGGTGAAGCACAGACTGTTGATTCTCCATGGGAACTGACAGCAACAGATTGCACTTCACCATGCTTCCTGGGGGTTTTTTTCAGCATGGCTTGTCATTATGTGTGAATTCAGCCCCTGGCTGGCAACAGTTCTTCAGGGTTCAGGCAAAATTTGTTTTTTCTTTCTTTCAAAAATATTTTTAATTTTTTTGAAAGCAAAACAACTATAATAAACAGAGCAAGCTGAAATAGACAAAGCTGCCAAGTGAGTTTGATACAAATCCAACCTGTAAAATCAGCCCCCAAAAATTTATCCATCAACACTCCATAAAAATGTAACACAAAATACATCTTTAATGTATACAGCAACAAATCCTCCAGTCACTTCAGATCCTCCGCAGCTTTCCCTGTCTTTTCTAAACACCTCAGATCCACTTAGCATGCTGCACATTTCCCAGTCCATTCCACCATTGTTCAGTTGTTGGGGGCTCCAGTGATCTCCATCCAGAACCAGCTACAATTCTGACACCCTGAACGCCTCTCTGACACTATATTTTTAAGACTCATGAAAGACCCCTTTGATTCTCTTAGAAGAAAAAATTCAATGCATTAATATTAATTGATAATGTCTTCATTCTGTCTCTTAAACTCAGTCTGAGCTCAAACAACTCTTTTCAAATCTGTCATCAACTTTCCGCCATCTAATTCAGATCTCCTTCTCACAATTCTCTTTTTCTCTGCTTTTCCACATTTCCACATTTCCAACTTTCACATTTCTTCAGACCTATAAACTACAATTTGACAGAACAGCTTAAAGCAAAAGTGTTAAGGGAGCAGAATCAAGAAAGAAGGGGAAAAAACAAAGAAAAGATAAGAGGCAAAAAAGGAGAAAGAAAAAGGACAAAAGATGAAAGTGGATAAAGCTAGTTAGTCAGCCTTCTACCAATATTAGAATGATTAGTCCCATTCTATCTCTATTAAAATATCAGCTTGAATTAGTTTGTTAAGAAGAGGCATTGTTCCAGCATTCATAGCAAGGGGCCTTGACTTTCAGTCTTCTCCAAGTCCAGTAGGTAGAGCTAATTGTCTTCTTTCCTTGGTTCGTCATGTTTGTTCTTCGTTCTTTTGGGTTACTTATTTTTTATTCTTAAGTGGGGCCAGGACCAGCGAAAAATCCCCAAGTCCCATCAGGGAGATAGATAGATAGATAGATTGTTTGTTTATTTATTTATTTATTTATTTATTTAAAACATTTCTATGCCTCCCCATTCGCCGAAGCCTCGGGGCGGCTCACAACATAAATTAAAATATAATACATTAAAAATATAAAACAAATTAACAATATAAAATAAGTCACCCTGGCCAATATGATTGTTCCTTAGAGCAAATCATGTATAATATAGATCAAAAACAACTACAAAAAAAATATCCCTGCTCAACCAACCAGCAACTCCCTTAATGGTGACGAAGGGGCAGGGAACTGTTTTCCGCTGCAGTGAGCTTCAGCCAAGATCAATTTATAATGTCCATGATACTTTAACAAAAATATCAAACAGTTTACAGCTGCAAAGTTAAGTAGAAGAGTGCCCCTTTCAAGGTCCTTTCCAAGCAGAGAAACAGAAATTCCTTAAAATCTGGATCACAACCAAAATCACAGCCTCATGTCTCAGCTATCCAAAAAGCAGCATTGTCCTCCTCCTCAATTCAAAAGGCACAATTAGGCAAAAAAATTCCCCCAGCTTGTACCAAGGTCAGTTTATGGTATTCGTAATTCTTAGTTTTAGAGTAGAGACATTAAACAGCTTTGCAAATGAGACACTGTCTATCAACAAAAGATTATCCGTTTCAGAGTCACTTCAAAATTTGCAAACAAAAATGCCCTAAGAGTTCAAGCTGCATCAAATTGGTGTGTTATTCCCTTGGCAAAGAAAAGGACATAATATAAAAAGAAACAAAAACTGAAAGAAAGATAAAAAGAAAAGAAAAAAGGAGTAAGTGTGGTTAACTGTTTCCAGTTTTACTTTATCAGGCCTTCTGATAATCACCCAGACGTGATAAGGCAGAAAGCAGCAACATTCACTGCTGCTCCATCAAGTCACCATTCCCTGGAAGACCAGGCCAAATTCTTAATTTACCCTGCCTGGAGATGCTGGGAATTAAACCTGGGATCTTCCCTATGCCAACCAAGTGCTCTGCTTCTATTAAATGCATTAACCAAACTGTTTTGCATCACTGCTGTTTGCATCACAGATTATAGATTCCAGCGTGTCTTAAGAAACTTGTGTCTGTGCAAACTTTGAGAGTAATATTTATTGGATAGAGGTTTACTTCTTTTAAAAAAACTTCTTTTCAAGGTTTTACAGATTTGGAAGGAAGAAGACACTAATTTGGATAAAGTTTTTAAAGCCACAGTAAGTATTAGTAATTTGCTTTAAAATGGTTGTAAATGAAGGGTTGTTGGCATGAACTTTCAATATGCTTGTACCAGTCTAGCTGATAATGGGTTGGATCTAGTTGTGTCCCGTGAACAAAAAAAAAGTCTGTGATACAGCAGTCTTCCAGTGAATGAAGGGGGTGATTTTTGCTGATTTCCCTGCAGTCCCCCACGCCCTCTGAAAAGCTGCTTCATAGGGCCAGGGGACCCTATAGAAAATGATGCTGGAGGCTTGAGAAAGAAGGAGGAATTGGTGGAAATTTCCTTCCTCTGGCAGAATCCCATTCATGGGAAGTCTAGAACACATCCAATAATCAACTGATGATGTCTCAGTCCCTTCTCTTCCTTGTCCTTAGTCAGTTTCTACCAGCAATACATTCTTTTTGAAATGACAAGACAGTTTAGAAGATCTAAATTGTTTTTCTGGAGGAGAATTATATTTCTATTGTTAGCATCAGTTGGATTTGTAGTTTAAATGTGTCACCGATGGAGCTGTTGCAGAGCCCCTCAACTGCTTTGAGTGTTGTTACAGCAGTAGTCTTTTCCTCTCCAAAGATGTAAAGAACAATAGCAGTGTATTTCCCACACTGCCCAGTAGTTGAAGCCCTCTGGACAACTACTCATGAAATGCAATATAAAATATAAATAATGGTGAGACAGTCAGTAGAGATATAAAACCAAATTTTAAACAACTCTAAACTTGTCTGAACAACTCAGACAGGCTTCTGTATAGCCTGAAGTGCCTGATCCTGCCCAGTCTTGGAAGCTAAACAAGGTTGGCCCTGGTGAAAATCTAGACGGGTAACTTGAGTCCTCTATTGGGCAGGCAGTTGAGCCCAATGGCCTGCTAGACCCCCTCCAACTGTATGATGCTTTGATGTTAAGGTCATTCAGTTAGGCTTGTTGAAACAGCTAATCTCCTGTCATTCTCTCCCTGCCCCCAACATTGGTAGAGGGCAGCCTTAACTTAGTGCCAAAAGTTAGTAGAGCTAGAACCAAGCATGTCTAAGTGAGGAGATCTTTCCATGGGGTGGGGGGCGCGCGGAGAGCACTACCTCAGTGAAGATCCTCTTTCTTGTTATTACTGGCAAGCTTCCCCTAGAGGCGGCTTTTGGAGGAGGACCCAGATGTTGAGCACAGTGTCTGGATAGAATATTTTTGGGAGAGCCGTTCCATCAAATATTTTAGTCCCAGTTGAAGTACTTATCTTTAGAGTCAGAATTCAGTTATGCCCTATTCAGCTGTCCCCACCAACACTTGACCTAATTAGCTTTCACTAATTTTGCTGATCCTATGAAAATTTCTTAGGCTTTGTTATGTAGATACCTGCATTTGCATTTTCAGAATAAAGAACAAAGTTGAAGGTTTTGTTTGTTTTTGCAGTTGTCAGCAGATGTGTATCGGATACATTCCCTTCCTCATACTGAACCACTGGTGCTGTTCAAGAGTGGTGCCATCAAGAGTTTAGATGCTTTGCTAGCAGCACCACAACAAGAAATTGAAACTATTTTGTCAGATGAGGTTATTAGGTGAGTGTAACAAGCTAGTGCTAACTTTATCATGTCTCCAAATGCCCCAATCCCTTTTTGCTACATGAGATGTTTATAGAACATCTCTAAACTTCATTAGCATGGATCATGAGTGACTATGTGCCATTGTAATGTTGTATTTATTTTCATTCCTTCCTGCCAGCAGTTCTTAAACAACTTGAAACTGTTAAGGAATACTGTGAATAAAAGCTGTTAGCTTACCAAAGAAAGACTTGTTGTAAAACATGAAACTATTTCGTACATTTGAACTCTTACTAACTTCAGTGTTGGCAGTTTTGTTGAAATGGCTGTTATTTTAATTATTATTTAGTTAGTTAGTTAGTTATTCATTATCCCATTTTGCACAGTTTTAATTGCCCTGTAATAATACTCATGTAACTTACTTTTAGATGGAGTGATGCTTTCATGGGGGCTGAACAACTTGTTCTCACATATGTTACTGAGCTGGTGAGTGTTAAAAATTGCAAGATTGTAAAACACCCATGGTAGTGCAAGAGTATTTACATTTAAATTTTAATAGAGGTATAATTTGCAAATATTAATTCATATTTACTGTTATATTTTTAATATACTACCACATGTATCCATTACCCAGGGATACACGGTCAGTCTCCAGGGTGCATTTCTATTCCTTACTGCTTGGAAGCACCCAAAACTCAGAGGTTTCCAAAGCTTCTATAACTTATCTGAGCAATGACCATGTAGAATTAAATCCTGGAATATGTACCTTGTAATGTATATGCATCACAGAAGTAATAAACCATGAAGCTGACCAATGGAAAGAGAGGGTTACTCAGACCTTCTAAATGTGAAGTCCTCTAGTTAGGGATAGTGTGGATTTTACCCACTGATCACAGTCAAGGTATTGATGAGCACTGCAATATTTATATTGTATATGTTGCTGGGGTTTATGTTTTCAATTATTAGTATGTTTGGGACAGGATAGACTATTGATTATGCTCAAACACAGAAAGCCATTTTAGTTTCAATATGTTACAAAAATAGCTTTTCACAATTGAACATCAAGAAATGCCTCAGTTAAAATACTTTTATCACATTGGGATAACAAGTCCTGCCTTATGTTTAAAAAAAAAAAAAAACCCTTTCAGGCATATTATGCAGTTAGCTTCTGTCTAGCTGCAGTGTTTTGTTTTGTTTTGTTTTGTTAATGATACTGGCTGTCCGGAAAACAGAAAAATGCTCTTTATTTTTAGGATGGGAATTACTTCATTTATGTTCAGCAGTGTAATCCATACATCCTTCAGAAGTTTAAACTTGAGAAGGGGAGTGAATCATCCACACCACTGAGCTTTGCAGCTTACTTGAAAAATAAAATTGTCACACTTCTGTGTTTGTGTAAGTATTTAAATATATATAATTGTGCAGTATGAGATCTGATGGAAGGGCAGATGATCAAGAATGATGCTACTTTTAATTTGTATAAATTACAGGTGTAGCGACAGTTAATAGTTCCTAATGGGATAGTTTTATATTGCCATTAGATGAGCAATGTATATGTATGCTTACAACTTCAATACATAATAACTGCACTTAAGTGCAATACCAAAACATGAATTTAGACTTACATACTGCCATGTTCTCTTTCTTCTCTCTCTCTGGCTGCATTCACACAACCCAATAAACAACCCTATGTGGTTACCATGGTTCAGGTTTTTGCTATGATCTATTTAACAAACAATCAAGTGAGTTCTACTTTATCATAGTTTCCATCCTGCCTGCTCAGTACTCCCACTACTGGCATGTATCCCATCAGCCGCTGCACCTGAAAATCAGTCTCAAGGAACATCACTCCCTGCTTGTGTTACCTACCTCTTAGGTCTGCAAATATTTATTTTTATTTATTTATTTGAAACTTGTGTATGCCATCCCCACATGCCTCGGCATCTTGGAACGGCTTACAACGTAGAATTAAAACAATAAAGCAGTAACAAGTACAGTAAAATTATATAAAAACAAAAAAGCGACTGTTAACAATAAAATTAATTTTTTAAATAGCCATTAAATAAAAAAGGTTTTAACCTGGCACCGAAATAGAGGCTAGATGGCCGGGGCGCTCCTGCAATTGCCACTCTTTCCAGAGAACTCTGGTTGTTGCATACTGGCACCATAAATCTACGATCCTGGCTTCAGACAACAAGACCAAGCTATGGTGGTGCAGAGAAACCATAGAACAAACTGTTGCTTCTTGTCATGGTTTCTAAAGACCAAACTTACAATGGTAAAATACCATGAATGGGTTCAGACAATATGACAGACAAACAATGGTAAAGAATCAGCATGGCTTATTGTGCTGTCTGAACCCAACCTTTACGTTAAAGGAGAAGATGATAGATTTACAATTCCCATTTTTTTGCCATTTCATCCACACCTCAAATCAAGATTCCAAATGTTTGCATCCTCGTTTGTGGGTAAGCCATGGCTTGGAAGTTTCAGTTGTCCTACAGTTGTGCACAAGCCCATGGCTCATGCCTGCCCTTCCTTGTTTAAAATATTATTCTCAACTATAGTTTGCTGTTAGTTTTTACACAGGGTATATTAGATGTTGAAAACATAAGGCTCTTTCTAATTTACTTTGGGGTAGTTTTACAATCAAAAATATTGAGGATGGTATGTGAGAAATGGCAAGCTAGGGTTGTTTCTCGCCATAAACAAAAATGGTGGGGAGGAACAGCCAAAGCTTCCCTGTTTCTTTGAAATGACCTGTCAGCTAGCGTGTATGCCTTAACCATAACTCCTTTGGGTATCCATTGGCAGTTGAGCCTAGTATGACTGTGCTGCAGAAGAACGAAGGAAGGAAACTCATTTTGCCTTCCCATCTATATCTTCTCTTAAGCCAGACCTCTGTATTGCCCCCTGTCACATAAACTTTGTGGATCCTAACTTATATTCAGCATTCTTGCTAACCACAATTTCTTGCTTGATCCTCTTTACAGATTCTGATGGGTATGTGTATAAGGTGCTTGTACCGCTGCAACAGAGTGGCTCTGAGGAAGAACAAATTTTGCCAAAGTCATTTCTGATCAGACTTGTAGTATCTGGCAGTATTCTTAAAGGAACTTCAATTGTCATTCTTGATAAAGATCATATTGCCATAACAGGATGTCTGGATTCCCCAGATAGTAATTTGAAAGGTAAAGTAATTCAACAGTTAGACTAAAATAACCCAGCTTAACTTGTTAAATCTAAACAGGAAGGAAACATCCAACAAATGTTCTTAGAACAGCATAGCAATAAGTGGCTGAAGGCAAGATGCTGTAGAATATATGAAGTAGAATAAAATGCAAGAGAGTCCTGCCTGGAGGTTTAAATCTAAAATTAATGGTCCCAAGGACGGAAAACAGGAAGGGGTAGGAAGAGCAGTAAAGAAGACACACATTGTTCTTGATCTGGTACAGCATGTTTTATGGGGATTAATGAATTATGCAACTGAGGGTTCACTTTCTTAAAGATTTTAATAACCAATTAGAGTATTAAATGAGACAATTACTGTAATAAACATTAATGAACCATTCCTAGCAGTGTTCAGCAGAAAAGCTTTGACTTAACTCCTTTTGTTGTATATTAACAAAGTTATTTTAATTTCCATATAACAATAATCTGTATAGCCTGTGTGCAAGCAAATGGCCTTCTATCTGATACCTTTTCCCTATTTGTAGATTGTCTTTCTATATGGAATATAAAGTTTCAAACACTGCAGGCTTCAAAAGAATTGCCACAGGGAACCACTGGACAGGTGAGTGGCTCACTTGTTTCATTTAACAAGACTTGACGCTAGTTCAGAATAGAAGTTCAAGATATGGACCTGCTTCTGCTGGCATAACCTACTCTTTGTTATTAGCATAAGTTAGTTGTTGCGTCATGCAAACAGTGACTGCTTTGCCAGTTTGGTTTGTATTTTCCAACAGGCCACCCTGTGGTGCTATGGTTGTTGTCACCTGTGGTGGGTTGTCATGGTGTCCAAACTCAAACAACATAACTTGACAGCCAGTGGGCTACTTTGTGAGAATGGCCCAAGCCCCTTGCTGCTCTTGACAGGTGTCTGCCAGATGAGCACCACTGACAGCAGCCCACAGAGTGCCAAAGTGGTACTTCAGCTTTGCTGTCTTAGTGTGCCCCCTTTGATATAGTGTAGAGCAGCTATCCTTGCTGGGGCTCAGTTTTTGGCAGGGATCTCCAAGATCTACTGCTCCTTAGTTTGGGGTCATGGGCCCTCTCAGCAAGGAGAGGACATCCTTGCCAGTTGCTGGAGAGGTCCACTTTGAAGCCACTGGCAAGGTTGGCCAAGAGGTGGGAGCTTGGGGATCCAGTTCCCCAAGCTGCCCCTCTTGGCAGTGACACAAAGTGATCTACCTACTGCCCTAGAGTTCTGCTCTGATCCACTCAGTGGTGGCACCTTAAGGGTTGGGCAGATCAGGTAGTACTGCCTCCTGCCCATGATATCTACTGTTAGGCAGGAGGTGGGAGCCAGTGATGTGTTCAGTGGTGCTTCTCTGTCTTCCTGCTCTCTCCAAAGTAAGGGGTGGGGATACCAGATCATCTCCCCCATTCTCCTTGCTTCACTTCAGGGCATGAGCCCTGTTTGTGCTATGAGGACAAGAAGGAAAAGTTTCTTCAGCCTTAACGTAAACAGGGATGCACCCCTGAAGCACAACAGGCAGAAACATCTGGCCTTGGCTGAGACGATGTGCACAGGGCCAGCAAGCAGCCGCAAGCACATTACCCCAGCCAAGGCTGGAAGTTGAACTCACTGCACTTCAGGATACGAGCTGGTTCTATAGGGACTGTGACAGCCACAATAAAACTTGTGGAATCAGCTTGTAGTTGCAGCTGTCAGAGGAGTCTCATTCCTCCTTGCGGTGTCCCCTGGGGTACCACCTGGAGGTATTGCAGGGGAGGGAGCAGAGTACCCATGATGAGACTGTTCATCTGTTGGACTCATTGTGGGTGCTTCACAAAGCGATCTTCCCACCATGCTTGACTTTCCAGGTCATTTGACTCAAGCAAATTCAACCCTGGGGAGAGAAACAGAGCTATCACAAAATAACATTCTTTTGTTTTCAATGCATTTATAAAATACTGGCCGCATCATACTAAACTGTGTCTTATTGTATAATTTCCTGCCTGCATTGGTGAGGAGGGTTTGAAATGTTTTTGCTTCCACTTTTAGTGTGTTTTGTTGCCCAGACACAGAATTGTGGTTAATGCTAAGTAAAATTAGCTTCTGCAAACTAGACTAGTGTCCCTTGGATTGAAGTTGGCTTGCTTGAAATGAGCCATATTTAGTTTCTTGCTTCAGCCAAAATGACAACCTGCCAAAATGACAATATCAAATGAAAAAATGACAATATCAAACATGATAACGTGGAACAAATTCCATTTAATTTTTTGTTCCCAAACATGAGATGGGGGAAGTAAAGAGTAAACATGTGCACCAGCAGGAACAAGCTACAACAGCACAGTTTAGTGCAGCCTTCCTCATCCTGGTACACAGCAGATGTGCTGGGACTACCTCCTGTTCACAGCCAGAATGTCCATTGGCCAAGCTAGATGGGGTGATGGAAGTGGTAGTCCCAACACATCCGCAGAGCGCCAGGCTGGAGAAGGTCTGTTTTGCTTGATATGGGGGTTCAGCCATTATATGATGCAACAAACATAATTATCAAGGGGTGTGCTGTTTTCTAAACCAGAGGTGGAAAACTGGTGGCCCTCCAGATGTTTTGTCTTTATAACTTACTTGATCTCTCACCAGTGATAGCACTGCCTAGGGTTAATGTGAATTGTTGTTGAAGCAAAAACATCAGGAGGGCCACAGGTCACCCGCCCCTGCCGCAAAGTGATATTTGAGCTGAAAAAGTGAAGCCAGTTATCTTGATCTGGGTATTTTGCCTTACTGGTCTCTGGATTTGTTGATCTAGTTTGCATGTTACAGCAGCTCATTGGTTTCAGAAGTAATCATTTTTATGCATGAATGCGAGAGAGCAGGTGTGCTACCTGGAGAACACTGGTCTTGTTCACCAGTGATCAGCTCCTATTAGGCATGATGGTCAAACTCAGACCAGTTTATTTTTGGGGCTAAGCAACCCAGTTCTTAACTAAGCAGTTCTTGGTTTAGCATCTGGGTTGTTCAGCCATGAACCAACCCAACAATCCAGGTTTGGATGGCAGGCTGTTCAACTGGAGGAGCTAATTGAGATCTGTGGACTAAAAACAGAAGAGTCTGGCATGCTTCAAGAAGAACTATTTATGAACAATTTTTAGTCAGTGGTTTATATGCAAGTATTCTTGTTGGCTGCAAGGTTCTCTTTTTTGTAGATATCCATCTAGTTCATATCAGTGGAAGATCAGGTCACACACATAGAGTGGACCAAAAGAATGCCACTTTCTAATTATACACTACAGTACTAATTCCTGGTTGCCTGTTTGAAGACACTTCAGACTTGGTGCACATGAGCATTGCAACTGTTTAATGCACATATATGGGCTAACTTTTAAAACTAAGGAACTGCCTTTATGAAAGTTGATTACAGAAAACTAGTAAAACAAATAATGAGAGAGTATCCCTTAAAACCAGGCTCAAAATAGAAAACTTGAGTGGTAAAACTGTAATACTTTTAGTAGTGAAAACACTTTACGAAAGCAGTGGTTGGTTGTTTTTTAACATTCACTTTTCCTAAAGCTCAAATCAGTTTACATACAAAACACAAAGCAGAAAAAATGTCACAAATGAACTCTCACTCAAAGGTGTGCAGATGCAGAAAGGTCTTACAACCTTTCCAAAATACTTCCCGAATATGACACAATGACTGTATGGAAGGCCACCACATGATGAAGCATTCAAGTGACTGCAGGGTTACATGGTGATGTGTGATGGTTTTATTAAGAGCCTAAGTGTGGAACCAGTGAATGCTGGTTTCAGCAAGTGTGCAGAGCTTCTATGCTCTCTTATGCACTGGCCTAAGAGAGCCCGTGTGGTATAGTGGCTGGAGTGCTTGAGACTTAGAAGATCCTGGTTCTAGTCCTCAGTCAGCCATGTTGTTCACTGGATAACTTAGGGCCAGGCATGGATTTTCAGCCTGACTTTCCTCTCAGAGTTGTTGTGAGGATAAAATGGAGAGAAGGAGAGCTCTGTAAGTCTCCTTGGGTTCCTTGCAAAAGAAAGGCGGGGTAGAAATGTCACGTAATCAGCATCAGCATCATCAATCTAGCACTAGTTAAATTTTCATGAGATGGCTGACCCGCAGTAGTAAGATAGCCACAGTTCTATATAAACAAAAATGTGACTTTCTATACAATACAAATTACAAGGGACAAAAGTTCTGTGGTATCATAGAGACTAATTGTGTACTTCATTACATCACTTTTTGCTTGCTAATTATGTATTTAATCTTTAGTGTTGGTGTTATGGAGATAAACTCTTCATAACTCATGGTAAAGAATTAATAGTCATCCTGTATAAGTGTGAAACCTCTTCCTTGGCTTCTGCTGTTGGGAAAATCAAGAATTCACAAACATCAGGTAAGGGGTTTATTTCAAAGCTTTATATTTACTTCTACAGGGCAGCCTTTCCCCTAAAATTGTTTTGAAAATTTTCATCTAAAAATATTCAAACCAAAAAGATAAACTTGGTGTATCTGAAACTGAAGCCTTTATTAGTAGGCCTTGGCCTGAGATTGTTCAGTAAATTCCGGTGTGCATTATCTGGAAATGCCTCTTGGTTATAATTGGCTATATATAATCTCTATATATAAAAATAGAGGTGCCAAACTTGCTTCCTGCTTGCCCTATGTCTGGCCGACTGAATATGGTCTGGATAGCAGATTGCAAGATGGGTTGATAGAAATAACCCAGTCGAGAGATAGCTATTTGGTATCAGCAGCACGTAGGGAATTTTAAAGGAATCAAAATCTAGGATTCTGGCCAGAGGAGCATGTAGGCTAAATACAGTTGTGCCCTGAGGGCTGGTTTTATGAAGTGGAGGTGGATAGGGACCTTTTCAAACAGTTCAGATATTTCCTAAATAAATATATAAACTATAGAATGGTTAAAAATGCTTGATCTTCCAGCTCATGTTATTTTTGGACTGCAGTAAAGGTTTTCTTAAGAAATTGCTCTTGCTCTTTGCTTAGTCGTAGTGTTTTTCAGTATACAATCAGTTAATGGCTATAGAATCATAGAATAGAGTTGGAAGGGGCTGGAAGGCCATTGGGTACAACCCCCTGATCAGTGCAGGACACCAAGCTGAACCATCCCTCTCAGATAGCTGTTCAGTTGCATCTTCAATGCCTCTAGTGTGGGAGAGCCCACAAACTCCCTAGATAACTGGCTGCTTTGTTGTACTGCTCCAACAGTCAGGAAACTTTTCCTGATATCTACCTGGAATCTGGCTTTCTGTAACTTGAGCCCATTATTCTGTGTCCTGCATTCTGGGAAGATCAAGAAGAGATCCTGTCCTTCCTCTTTCAAGTACTTGTAGAGTGCTATCGTATCTCCCCTCAGACTTCTCCAGGCTTCAGACTGGGAAACATGCTCCCCAGAGAGATTTGGCTGGTACCAACACTTCGTTCGTTCCAGCACCAGGCCAACAACTTTATTTACAAAGTTTTTTAATTGTTAGATAAAATATATTTTAATTCTTGCATTGGATCTCAAGTACTGTGGCTCTTTTGGGTTTTTAATTGTTTCGATGTTTTAATTTTTGGAAACCGTCTTGAGATTTTCATGAAATATAGATGGTATAGAAGAACTTTAACAAATATGCCAAGTTCTTTCAATCTGTCCTCATAGGGCTTTGTTTCTGGACCCTGGATCCATCCTTATTGGCCTCCTCTGAACCCTTTCCAGCTTGTCTGCCTCTTCCTTAAACTGTGGTGCCCAGAACTGGACTCCAGATGAGGCCTAGCCAGTGCTGAATAAAAGGAAACTAGTACTTCACAGGATTTTGAAGTGATACTTCTATTAGTGCAGCCTAAAATAGCATTTGCCCTTTTTGTAGTGTTATGTAAAAAGCTGCAAAAATACTTCTCCTCAAGATAAATAACCAAGACTACCAACAGAGTAAGGCGTTTCCTTCATTTATTGCAATAGACGGTGAGAGCCCACTCTATCAGAATCTCTCCAAAGTACAAACACGTGAAACAGCTCCTTTTACCCCTCAACCTGTCCACCACAGTCCTCCCCTTTTCCCTCATTGGATAAGGTACTAGGAGGTTACAGTCTTTCCATCCACCTACTTCATATCCCATCTCATCCCACTACATACATCTACATACATCATGTGTGCATTATACTTAGTCCATTGTCTATTCAAGATGTGTGAGTTCATAATATTCATCAACCTATTACGCCTGCATGCTTATAACTACAAGTTCGCTAGTTTACTCCTCTCTTAACTTCACCTTGCCCTATGACCCTCTGTCTCATAAAACTACTGGGAGGATGAGATAGGAAGTAACACACTTTCTTTCAAGCCTATTTATTTATTTATTTATTTATTTATTTATTTATTTATTTATTTTTCGATTTATATCCTGCCTTTTTCCTACAAAGAGCTCAAGGCAGCTTATATCATTATCTTTTTCTACCCTCCACATTCCTTCAGACAGACTTCATAGCTTGGTTGTTTGCCTATCTGTTTCTCAATCACTGAGTTACTTTCTTCAACAGCCACATCATATTGTTGTGTCATATTCACCAATTTCAAGATGCTTCTACTTGCAATATTGTTGAGTAGAATATGTATCTTTAACAAATAATGTGATTTTGCTTCACTTTCTGTTCCTTTTGTTCTACTTGAAAAAGTCATATCCTTCAATTGTTGAATTCCAGTCATGGGAGTAAGTTTTGCCTATCAGGTCATAGTCACCCTCCTATTTAAAGAGTTCAAGTTCATGCTGCTTGTTTACCATACTCCAGGCATTAGTATACAGACATCAAAGACCATGTGCTTTATAGTCTAACTTTCTTTCTACATTTTTTGGAAGACTATTATTGGGCACTGTTAGAGCTGCTCCCTCTGTGGTGTGCATAAGCCTTTGTTCTGTTGTTATGCCCAGCTGTACTTTTCCCTCCCTGTAGGATTCAGTTTAAAGCCCTCCTAATAAACTTCATGCTGTAGCCAAACTCATTCTTTCCAGTCCTTGTAAGGTGCAACTTGTCCCTTGCCAGCAGTCCGTCTTCCAGGAAGTGTAGCCCATGGTCCTAGAATCCAAATCACTCACCTCGGCACCACCTTCATAGCCAGGCATTCACTTGGAGTATTTTTCTTTCCTGTCTAGTCCTCTTCCAAGAACTGGAAGGATTGGAGAGAACACTATCTGGGCTTCAAAGCTCTTGACTTTCCGCCCTAAAGTTTCAAAGTCTGGTGTAATTTCTTCAAAGCTCTGCTTATCAGTGTCATTTGTTCCCATGGGCATAAAGAAGAAAGGAAAATGTATGAGTGGGCTGTATGAGCCTTGGCAGTCTTTCCGATATATCACGGATCTGTCCTCCAGGGAGATAGTACACCTGTTGAGTCCATGGGTCATCCTGACATTCATGCGTTTCCAGGGAGTCTCCCACATCTAACATTCTTGTTCTTGCAGGTCTTGCTATCACTGCTACTACTTAGTTGCCTTTTAGATTCTTGTTCAGTGTTGCACAGGATGATTTGCAGTTCTTCCTCAGCAGGCTGTACTCCAGTTTCATCCTCAAGTAATTGAAAGGGGTTGAAGAGTGTCTGATGCAGCGTGTCTTCTACCTCTGCACCTGTCACCCCTTTTGAAGGAGTTTTCTCTTCATTTCCCCTTCCTTCAGGATTCTCTTCTGCCTCAGCCTTCTGCTCTAAGAACTCTTCATTTTCTTTTATTGAAGAGTTTTATTTTATTACCTTTCCAGTGGACACTCACTGCTCTAGGGCTCTCACCTTTTCTTCTAGCAGGGCGACTACCTTGCACTTGTTGCATGTGTTAGACCAGGTTGACCTCCAGCAGGAAAGCAAACATTGCACAGACGTTGCAGATCATCACCAGGGAGTCTTCTCAGTCCTTTCTTTCTGCTGCCTTTTTGATTCTACCTTGTTGGGCCCATTGTGACAACCAGTGCATTCTACTGTCTTCTCTGAAGGTTAACGACAGAGTTCTACCATGGTGTAAATGGGAGTATATTACCAGGAAGAAAAAAGGGGGTGGGAAACTGAGGGGCGGGGGAGAAGAAAAGGGGAAAAAACCATTAGGGGCCTTCCCCCCTGAACTCCACTACCAAACTCCTGTTTGCTCTCTCTGGTTGCTTTCCCCCTGGAAGCTTGGCTGCTTGTATCCCAGAATCCCTAGACCATCTGGGGCAGCTTCCCCTGATCTGCTCAGCTAGTCAGGAGCCAGAATGAATCTCTGCACCTGCACAGCTGCTGCTAGTACTCAGGCCACTGCCTTTCAGTGGCAGCTCTCAGGAGCACATGGCCTCTTGGAAGAGACTGTTTGCTGGGTGAGGCCAGGGCCCTCACCCCTTTGCCTCTGCCTGCCTTTGTCTTCTCTTCCACTGCAACTTTCCCCCAAACTCTGGTTTGCTCTCCCTGTTTGCTCACTCCCTGGGAGGTTGGCTGCTTGTATCCCAGAGTTCCTAGACCAGCTGGGGCAGCTGTGTCCATAACACTAAAAAGTGCTGCACGGTTACTAGGCGACATGGTATTTCACCTTCTGTCCTGGGGTCATATATTTGCATAATATCTACTCATGAGTTGTTTCCACATGCCTCCATCTTCCCTCCAGTTGGTGACACATCTCCCTCCCTCCCTCAGCTGGGAATCAATCCCACAGTGCCCTGTTCTTAACTGCCTAACCTTTTATTTTCTGCTGCTCTTCAGAGCCATTACTCATTAGAGTAGGGTGGTTGCTGTCCAAGAGCAACAGAGGAACACTCCCTGCTGCTGCCGTACTCCCTGCCTATGCATACGCGCATGCACACAACTCTCTGTCACTGCACATGTGGTTGTTGTTTCCTTCCCCCCCATGCGCACATTCAGGATTAGCACATGCTGCTGGGCCAGTCTTCTTCCAGTAGCCCACCAGTGCCAGGAGCAAAGGAGTCGCACCCTGCCAGACACTCTGTCCTAAGGATGCCTGGGTAGGCATCTGCCTGGGAAAGTGTCTCCACAAAGACTGCGATTGCCTCCAGCTCTGGGTGTGGGGGCAGCAGAGCAGGGGACAAGGGCTGTTCAGGGCAACAGTATCCACTGGCAGCCTGTGCACTCCTCATAAAGGGCAGCTGTCCCACGAGGAGCCTGCTTACTCCCAAGACAGGGCAGTTGTAGGACTTGCCTCACCCAAGGCACCAATCCAGCTGAGTGCAGTAACCAGGCAGGCGTGTCGGGCAGGATTGCCCCCCACAGTCACTGCCACCGGAAGTGCTCCCTTTATTTTCTGCCAGCATGTGCCTCTCTGATGCCCCTACTGGCAGTGAGAGCCTGTCACCTAGCATTAAAGCAAACTGCCTTTTCTCTGTAGGGTTTCATGAAAACCAAACAGGTTGCACTTCGCCATGCTTTGTGAATTCATACATAAGGACAAGCCCTGCCTGTGTAGTTTCCAGCATGGCTTGTTGGTAGGTGTGAACACAGCCAATGAGAACTATGCAATAGAAAAGCTTGGGTAGCTTACATAACATGGAATGAGATTGATTAGGATCGGGGTCCTCAAACTTTCAGTAGGGGGCCAGTTGAAAGGTGGCAGCAACTGGTGGGGCCTGGGGGTGTGGGCCAGTGAGGCATCGTGGGGTGTGCATGCGGCAGCGGCTCACTCGCTTGGAGATCTCCGAGCGAGCAAGCTACCGCCTTCCTGCCCACTCTGCAAGGCAGTGGCGAGCACGTGGGGGAGGCAGGCGGCAGCTCGCTCCCTCGGAGATCTCCCAATGAGTCCAAAACCATCTCTGAGTGAGCAAGCCACCGCCTCCTGCCCGCACAGCAAGGTGGCGGCGTGCACGTGCATGGGCGGTAGCGATGTGGGCCTGATAAATGGGCATGGCAGGCCAGATCTGTCCCGCGGGCCATAGTTTGAGGACCCATGATTAGGATGATATACTGAATGTGTGTGATGGTTAGAGTCTTGTAATTGGTTCCCATAATGATTTGTAGATGCAGGACACCAGTGCCAAGCGCTTGAAGTATTGGGTGCATAGTCTGGGTGAAATGCAGCATGATTTTCTCATGCCTCATGAACTTCCTCTTCTGTGAAACAGTTTTTGAGGGTGTGCAAGGGGCTCCTGGGGAGAGGGGGAATCTTTTCCTCTCCTTTTTGCTGATAGATACTGTTCCATTGGTGAAAGGGTTGAATTAGATACCACACCCTGACCTGCTTTGCAGGTTATTATGGCTCACTTAAAACTTGTTTAGTAGTTGAGTTGTTTATTAACTCCTTATGGTCAGGTTCATGTGATTTGCTGCAGCCTGCAGTGGCCCAAGCAAAGGTCACATATGTAAAATAGTGGCCTCACACATCAGGAATAATCATAGGTTATTTAATGTATAACAACCTATGGTAGATAATGGTTGATCTTAAGACACATTTTTTCATTATGTGGAAGGTGGCTTTTAATTTAGTTTACTTCATAATAGATCATGGATTTGGTTTAAGTGTGAACTTGGCCTTTGCATATTTGTGTTCATTTTAGACTTCATTTAAATCTGCCTGTTCTAAAAAAAGCAGTGCACTATATTTCTAGAAACATAATTCAAACTGAAACCTTGTGAGGTTTTAGGTCTTTGAAGATACAGCCTATATCCAGTGTACACATCTACACCTAAATAAAATATTTTTGATATAATGGTCAAGACTTGTGTTCCTTCTGTCACCATCCAGAGTGAAGGAAGGAGCAGGTTGTGAGGAACATAATTTGCATAGATTCAGTTGCAGTGTAAAACCCAAGTTCTTTGTTCAGTTTTATATCGTTGTTTTTGTTAAAGCACTTTTTGGGGTGACACGCATAGCAAGAATTGCTTAATATTTTGTTTTGTATTTTGTTTCCAGAAATGAAGACCCAGTCTGTCAACTGGAATATGCTTCAGGAAGATGACTTCACACATGTACAGCCAGATCAGTCTCTACCTGTGAAATGTGAATCTAAGAGGCTGGTATGTTTATTTTGTCATCATCTTCCCTGTTTTCCTTTACTGTTGATATAACAAGTATGTAATATGTCTTCTGCATGATATCCAAATGTGACTTGGTTGGCTCCATTTAGCCAGTTAGTAAGCTTAAAAAAGATTTTTTTACACAAATTGACGTAAGAAAAAGCAGTTGTTGTGGAGTACACACAGAAGGATGCTCGTGTGTGTGTGTCCTGCTCATGGGCTTCTCATAGCTATCTGTTTGTCCCTATCTGAACAGAACACTGAACTAGATGGGCCTTTTGTTAGATCTTGGTCTAGCTTTCCTAGGTCCTAGAACAATAATAATGAATCTATTCTTCAACAAGTTGACAAATACCAAAAGTCCTTAAATATCACCTGTGCAAAAAATCAAAACATAAGCAAAAGTGGAGTGCTCTTTTTCTTATTTACCATAGATACCCTCCAAATCTGCTATCTTTAATACCATATCAATTTGTATAACCCTCAAATGGCCCTGTAAAACTTTTTTGGTAATTGTCCAAATGTCTGTAGGCAGTACTATATACGGATCTTACTGTTTCAGAACACTAAGTCTAAGATACCAGTTTTGATAGCATTTGCTAAGTTTTGTAGGTTTGCAGACAGCATCATGATCCGACAGAAGTGCCTTCCCTTTAAAGTCCCTCCTCCAATTCCTGCACTGCTGTGGAAGATCTGTCCTCCAGAACAACTTTTCAGGAACTTGTGGGGACAAGGAGGAGAAGAAGCCTATGCAAATCATTCCTCCCATGGCTTAAACAGGAGTTCTTCTAGCAAGAACTCTGTATCCAGGCCTATAGCTATTTCAGTATGATTAACAGTGACCATTGTTGGATACCCATCTGACAACCTACCAACCAGCAGATGGGGGACAGAAAGCCTTAGATTCTTGTGATGGGGTTGTAGGGGAGGGGTGATTGAAGCAGCTAAAGCAGTCTGGAGTGGGCATGTCAGAGGAGTCTGTTCTGTGCTTCTCATAGTCATCATGTCACCCCTCTAGTGATCTTCCTTTCCCCACCTGAGTTCTTAAAAAAAAGTTGAATGAAAGCCATCAGTCTCACTTCACAAGAGGTACAAGTCCATCATGTTATTGGAACATACATGGGGATAGCGGGGCTGGAACAGACTGGGTGAAGTAAGGCATATTTGCATGGCAGTACTTCCCTTCTTCCTAGGTTTTTTTGAAGCTTGCCTGATTAAAGGAACACAAAGCATAATTTTCCCCTTTTCTCTTCTTTAGAATGACATTAAAAGTGGGGAGAACCTATGCAAAAATCCTGAGACTTGCACATTCACATATTCTCACAGAGCTTTTGGCATTTGTTTTTTTTTAAAGCTGTTTAGAGGTTTGGAAGAGGTGGCAATGAGTGCAGAAATTAGTAATTAGCCATAGCTGCTAAGCTAGGCTCTCAAGCAATGATATGTATGTGTAATTTGGAATGAGACCCTCAGAAAGTGCAGCTTCTAAATGAACATACACAGAGGAGGTCAGTGTAAATATTTTAAAGCAGCATTTTAAAAAGTTATATCCTGCTTTTCCACAAAGGAAAATGTTCTCAAGGCAGCTAAGAACAAAAAGAACAAAAATTAAAATAGAATACTTTGTTCAGACAAATATAAAATTACATTAAAATACTGTTTAAACGGACAGTGCAATAATAAAATGGCACCCAACCCAACAAACCGACTTACGTGCTAAAGGCTGCCTGGCCCTACACACACTTCTATGTGAGCAAGTGAACTTTCCAGTAAGCTGGTTCCTAATCCATATAGAGCTTTATAGGTCATCAGCTCTGTAGACCTTTGGGTATAAGCTATAATTGTAGAACTGACCATTGCTTTTCCAGCCTTTACAGGGCATTAATTATCTTTGTCAAATGAGCCTACTTTTTATGTCAATTATTGCAGCTGAGATCAAGAAAGAGCACTCAATTTGAGACCTTGACGGCAGAACAACTTTGTTTAATGATCAAGGTAAATATGAAAAACTTTAGCAAAAGAAGGGGGATGATGACAAGGTATCTTGAATGGCATTTTCTATGTTGATGTATCTTTGTACATGAACCAGGCAAAATAGGATGTAAAACAAAAGCTGAGTAAAACATAGAAGCCTATTTGTAAGAGAAATGGAATATAGATTTTTAAGCAAGCAAATATAAGCTTATTTTAAATAACTTGGTGGTAGCATCTGTTCATCAGGGTTCTGCTCAAAATGCTTCTCTCAGCAGAAGTTGCAGGTGGTGCTTTTTGCCAGTTTTCCCAAAAACACCCCTTCTCACCTTCTATTATAGAGTATCTCCCAACCTACTCAAGTAAATCTGCAAGCAAAGGGAGAAACTGACCAAAATGATTTTTTCCCAAGGCATGTAAAATCTCCAGAAATTTTGAAGCTATAAAAGTTTACTTGTCCTTCAAGGGGGGGTGGGGGGTTGGTTGCAGATAAAAATATGTTAAGGAAATTAAAATTACAGAATTAGCTTCAATTACAATTTTAATGTCAGTTTCAGGAACATAAATTGATTGTATGACTTGGGCTGCTTAAAAAATTAATATATTAATTAAATATAATTATTTAGATAAAATGGAATTTATTATTTATTATTTAGCTTGCATAAATACTACAGCCTGTATACGTTAAGTGATCGATGGGTAGCGGGAGTTCTTCCTTCCCTCAGAATTAATTTAACAGTTTTCCTGCCCTGTATGTTTTAGCTCACTGTGAAGGTTGAGGGTTGATTTTTGACGCTGACCAGCTGCTTACTGATAATTCTATTATAGTTTACAAAGGGACTGATGATGTTGTTATGAAATTGCCGTTATATCCCACTTTTTTCCCCTCTTCTGAGGAACTCAAAGCGGCTTACATGGCTCCATTTTATCTTCACAACAACCCTGTGAGGTAGATTAGGCTGAGTAACTGTCCTAGAGTCATCCAGTAAGCTTCATGGCTGAGTGAGGACTAGAACTTAGATCTTCCAGGTCCCCAACTCAGTGCTGAGCTATGTGGAGAGCATAACTTTCAGTGTGAAGATACAGTATATATGAATGTTTCACTTTGCAGTCTCATTGCAATGTGAGCTAAAGGCATGCTAGTGAAAAGGATAACAGCTTGTATCCTTCCTTCTGCCGTCCAAGGTGTGTAGATGTGTGCGCACACATGTGCACACAGAAAAGTAATGTGTGTTACTATGCACCTGCCAGAGGTCCCCAGTAACAGTAGGTACAGGAGGTCTAATTGCAGAAGACTTTTCCCTATACGTCGTGACACTGCAATCTATTAAGAAATATTGGAAGAAGATAACAAACAGCATCAGAGAAATTACAGGCTGTGAGTTGCAATTAACCCTGACAACTATACTGCTGGGTGATATTAAAGATCAGATCCCTAGAGATTTGGTGATGAGGGTGAGTTTTATCTGAATAGCTGCAAGAATCCTCTTAGCAAAAGATTGTTGATGAATATAAATCCCATATCTGTTGCAATGAAAAAGGAAGATTTGGTCTGCAGTGGTGATAAAGTATCAGGTTATAAGATGAGACAGTAAGAAAGAAGGAGCTCAATCCAAACTTCTCCAAAAAGTTGGATACCATTTGTTATTATTGGAATATGTTCTAGCCCAGTGATTTAGCAGCTATAGATATACTACATATGTATTAAGTTGAAATGTTGTAACTACCTTGAATAAATGTATTGGGATTCAAAATTGGAAAAGTACATAACATAAAAAACCCTCAAGAAGCTCAGGGAACAATCCTGAACTGTGTGGGATGGAGCTATAGGGCAGGGTAAAATTGGCCAAAATTGAGCAGGGAGTGTCTTTCAGGAAAGTGTGGTAATAGTACATAGTGTACCTGCAATTAAAGTTACAAGATTGGGTTGGTTGGTTATACTGATTTTAAGATCTTTTGACTGCCCCATCTAGTTAAAAAATGCCTGCATGTGGCACCTGAGAAATGGCTTTCTTTAGAATAATGCCTTTTCTAAGAAGGCAGTGGCTGTGACTCCCACAGGCATCTAAAAAGGTTTTGTTTGCCTTCAGAAATTATTGCTGTGCAGATCAAATGAGTTAAAACATATATGACAGCCATAATTTATTTAACTGGGTGGCAAGTTCAATATTTATTTATTTATTTATTTATTTATTTATTTATTTATTTATTTATTAAAACATTTTTATGCCGCCCCATTCGCCGAAGCCTCGGGGCGGCTTACAACAAAAAATTAAAATAACATTTTAAAATATATACAATAAAATACAAATATATAATATAAAACATACACTATAAAACAAGCCGCCCTGGCCAAATAAAATTCAATAATATTAACATTTAAAATACTGCTTAAATAAAAAGGTCTTCGCCTGGCGCCGAAAAACAAATAACGACGGCGCCAGGCGGACCTCTCTGGGGAGCGCATTCCATAACTTAGGCGCCACCACTGAGAAAGCCCTCCTCCGAGTAACCACCCTCCTAACTTCTTCCATGGAGGGCTCCCGGAGAAGGGCCTCTCCCGCCGATCTCAGGGGGCGGCTGGGCATATAAGGATGTAAGTGCTCCTTCAGGTAACCAGGACCCAAGCCGTTTAGGGCTTTATAGGTCATTACCAACACCTTGAATTGGGCCCGGACTTCAATGGGAAGCCAGTGATGCTGACGGAGAACTGGAGTCATGTGAACATAACGTCCAGTCCCCGTCAGCAGCCTGGCAGCTCTATTTTGGACCAATTGAAGTATCCGGACCGTCATTTTAATTAGTATTTGTAATGAAAACTGTTCTTGTACAATATTGAATGAAATATTCTTTTTTTAGGAATCATCACAAAATATAATTGAAGATAAACTGAAGATATTTTTGTCCTATACTCAGAGGACAGACTTCCAAGCATCAGTTGGATATGTAGTTTCAGCTCTGGTGAACAGGTGTAAAATGGAGACATCATTTTATCCTCGCAGTTGCCTCGTGGAACTGGTTCAGACACAAGGCCTCTCTTACAGGTGATGAACGTCTCACATTTTCTAATAAAACATAAAAAGGCCTTCTTGGGCAGTTTTGACTCCCAGGAATTGATATGAACTTGTGGTATTCAACTTTGAAAAAATGTTGTAAAAGGAAAAGTTACTATTTAGCAAATTACTTCAATGTGACAGGTTCACTGTTTATTCTGTGCCCCAGTATGTGCCCAGAGTTGATGGCCATTGCCTTGGAGAAAACAGATGTACACTTGTTACAACTGTGTCTACAGCAGTTTCCTGATATCCCTGAAGAAGTTACTTGTGCTTGCCTGAGGACATTTTTGAGGTAAGTCAAAAGCATTACTGTTTGTTCTTACAAGAGCAGCAAAATTGGTAAAGATTGCCATGCCACAGTTATCCTGTGAGGTGGACTACAATTCTGCTTAGTAGATTCGTTTCACTACCCGTTTCCTTTTGATTCAGGGTAGGGTTAGGATTATGAGCTGCATGCCCTGGAAGATACAATGTTCATCTCTCCAGACAGACTGTCAGCTTTCTGCCTGCTTTCCTTTAATTACAAATAGGCAAACACAGATGAGTCCAAATGGTAGGGCGGTTTGCTTGCCAGAAACTCACACTCAAACCTCAGGTTCAGTCTGAAAGAAGACGGTTGTTACATGGGTGAAAGGGGAAAATTGCACAGGTGCTTGAAAATAAACAGGAGAGACCTTACCAGTCTCTGCTAAACTGTTAAAGGTAACTACTCACAATGTAGGGGTCATCTGGAAAGTTGCAATATGCAGAGCATCTTTGGATGGTCAGAGGAAGAGATGTCAAGAAGCACTAGAGTGAAGAACAACAATACCCCTCTCTTACTGTATTTTAGTGTTCACCAGGAGCCATGCATGGGCACACATGCAGACATACCTTCCACATGTACCTCCCTTGCTATTGCAAGCTTGGGGACCACAGCTTGCACAACCCTTGTCTAGGAGGGAGACTAAAGCATCCTTGCTTTAAAGAAAGAGACATTGAAGAGTAGCTCCTCGCCACTTCTGTCTGTACTGACCTTAGATCACTGCTTTGGTAAATAGTAGAAATGGGTGCAGCCTTGCTTGCTTATTTTTCTCATGTATGAAAGCTGTTTAAAGTAGATACTGTTCTAGCTTTCATTGCTTTTGAGATTTTTTTTTTGTCCACTAATATTGACATAGTCTCTAATGAGTTGTTAATTTTCTAAGCATGAAACTGCAAATTCTTTCTTTTTTAGATTGTTTTCTTTATTTTTTTAACTTTATTAAATCACTTCATAACAAAAAAATAATCACATTTCTAACATACATAAAATTATACAATACAAATAAAAGAAATACAATTAACGTTATAGTAAACCATGATAAAACAGTGCATCGCACCATCAGGACCTTTGGTTTCCATATTAAATTGTTTACTCTTTCAGGAGGCCTGGCCCCTTCCAAAACTGCAATAAGTCTTGTGAAGTTTCCCAGTCTTTCCTTTTTATCAATACATACTTAATAAATGATCCCCAAATGTCATCAAAATTATTTTTATTTATAAAGTCTTTTTCACTTTAATATCACAAGTTAACTTGTCATTAATAGCTATATTCCAATCATCTCTAAACCAATTCCTTAACTGATAATCATGTTTTGCTTTCCAATTCTTTGCTGTAATTAATCTCACAGCTGTTAGTAAGTTTGTTACTACCTCTTTAATATCCCTTCTCTGTTGTTCTCTATCAAATATTGACAGTATGATTCCTTTTTTAGATTGATTGACTCTAGAACAACTGTTTGTGTGCACACGCGCATGCACATATGTGTACATGTGTGTGTCCGAAAAATCAGGCAGAGTAAATTAACTGCATGGTGATTTTTTAATATTCAGGCATCTATAGAATTCAGTTTTGACTGCCATAGGATATATATCAGCACCCATTTAACATAAAAATACTTCCATGCATGCAAGTGAAGTTCTTTGGTCTGCCTTCATTGCAAATAACCTTTGCCTTTACTGAAAGATGTGTTTTTTTCCACAAATATAATCAGTATTATGGACATTGCTTCTTTTTTTTTTTTTTTTTTTTTTGCAGCATTGGTGATGACTGCCTTGAAGCAATGAATGTGAATTTAGATTCTGTACCAAGCTGTGCTCATAATGCACACAATAGTAAAACAGAAAAACAGTCTAAAATTGTACAGAATGGCTTCAGTTCTGAACTCATGGAAGAGGATAGCTGCGACACACAGTTAAATCTGAAATCTGATACAGTGGACACAAGTGAAATATGCCCTGTTGGACCACAAAAGGCAGCATTGCTGTATCCTTCGCACAGTTTTTTTAAAAAACAGGGTATATCAGTGGTATAAATGACAAAGGGTAAAACTAAATCAGCTTTCCCCCACTTTGAATCTATTCAGTGTTGTATTCTGAGCAAAAAAGGCGATCTGTAGATTCATTCCCTTGAACTGGTATTGCCGCACACCCTCAATACTGCTATGAAGGCATGCCATGGATGGGACTACTAAAGCAAGGCTGCTTGTGATACCCGTCTCCTACAATGATGGCAGAATCCTATCACATTTGGAAATTTCTTGCTGTGGTTTTGTTTAACATGAGAGCCTCTGTCTAGGAATAGAGGCTATTGATCTCAGAGCACGCTGAGATGGTAGGAAGCCTCTGTGGTCCATGGTCAACAGTGATGGGAGTCCCAGCATCTAGAAGGTCATAGAGTCACTCATTCTTGCCTTAGAAGGGAAATTAGGCTGCAGAAAGTTATCTTGAGCTGAAGATTGCTTCCCTGTATCCTGCGGTGATTTATGTAGTGCCTTCTGACAGTATCCTCTATCTCTCCATATTAAAACAGGGAGTGTATGGGAAGTTTTGTGGACTGTACAGCTTTGCCAAAGGTAGCAAATAATGTTTACTAGAGCTACGCTCCATCTGGGTCCAGGGACCTACCTAGGTTTATCTTTAGCATGCACAATCAACTCCAGGGCTACCTCCTTATTCTGAGGTGCTTGCAGCCTTGTGGCCAAGCTTGCAGGAAGGCAACTTGTTTCCACAAGAATCAAAAGTATGTATGTATGTATGTATGTATGTATGTATGTATGTCTGTATTAAAAGCTTTTCTATCCCATGCCCTACAATTGTCTTGGGATGGCTTACAATAAAAAAGTAGAATAAAACAAACCCCACAGCACCTGACCATTAAGATACTAAAACCCCAGTTAAAATCAATTAAACATTTAAAAAGGGAAAATAAAAAGGGGTTTGCCTGATGCTGAAAAGAATATAACATCAGCGCCAGGCAAACCTCTGGGGGAGTGTCTTCCATAGTCAGGGTGCAACCACAGAGAAGGCCCTCCTTCAGGTACTTTCCCTTCTAATCTTCAAGGATTGCTCCCAAAGCAGGACCTCCACCTCATATCTCAAGGGGTGAGAGGGCACATAGGGAAAAGGATGCTCCTTCAGGTATCCCGTGTAAGGATGCAGTTGATGGATCAGCTGAAGCTGAAGGAAAGTGCTCATTGCCACCGCTGCCACCTGGGACTGCTCTCAGTTGGGGAACACTCCCAAACTATGAACCCTATCCTTTAGGGGCAGTGCAACCCTGTCAAGGACAGGGTTAAAATCACTTGCCTGGAAGGCTGAACCACCTACCAACAGGACCACCATCTTATCTGTATTAAGTCTCAACTTAATGGCCCTCATCCAGCCCATTATTTCAGCCAGGCATCAGTTAAGGACAGCCACTGCCTCACCTGGACTAGATGTAAAAGAGAGGTAGAGCTGGGTGTCATCAGCCTACTGATGACTCCACAGTCCAAACCTCCTAGCTGTTTCATGTAGATGTTAAAAAGCACCAGGGGGGGGGGGTTAAAATGGAACCCTGCGGAACTCCATGGCACAGAGCCATAATCCCCCAGCAGTCACCTTCTGGAATCAGCCAGACAGGTAGGAGTGGAAGCACGGCAAAGTAGTGCTACCAACTCCCAATGCAGCTAGCCTGTCCAGAAGGATACCATGGTCGATGGTATCAAGCTTCTGAGAGGTCCAGGAGAACCAACAGAGACACACTCCCCTGTTCCGCTTCCTGCACAGGTCATCCTACAGGGTGACCAAGGGAGTTTCATTTCCATAGCTGGGTCTGAAACCAGACTGAAATGGGTAAAAGACAAGCAGTTTCCTCCAAGAGCGCCTGGAGTTGTCCTGCTGCCACCCACTCAAGCACCTTGTCCCAAAAGCAGGATATTGGCCACCAGCCTATAGTTGGCAGCCATTTCCAGGTGCAGAGATGCCTTCTTTAGGACAGGCCTGATCACCTCTTCCTTCAACAGGGCAGAAACCTGGCCCTTCCTCAGAGAGGTGTTGATGACCTCCTGGACCCAGGTACTTATCCCAATTTTGGCTTTGATGAGCAGCCGCAAGGGCAAGGGTCCAGTAGACAGGTGGTGGGTTGGACCAATCCAAGCATCTTGTGCACATCCTCAGGCTGCAACAATTGAAACTCATCCAATAAAGGTGGACCAGACAGCGCTCTAGACACTCCCCATTCTAGGTCCATATCAGCTGTGGAGTCCAGCTCGTGGCAAATCTGAGTGATTTTATCCTTAAAGTGCTGGGCACAGTTGTCACAGCAAGCTACGGATGGTGCAATAGGAACCTTTTTAGGGCCAGAATGTAAGAGGCCATGCACCACCCAGAAAAGCTCAGCTGGACGGCACTGTAAGGATGCAGTGGAAGTGAAGAAGAATTCCTTCTTCACCACCCTCACTACCACAGCAAAGGCTTGATAATGAGCTCTAAATTGTGATGGTCCCGGGATTTCCTCCACCTGCACTTTAGTCATCTCCCAGCCTGCTTTATCACCTGCAGCTCAGGCATATACCATGGTGCCGAGCAAGCGCTGCATGACGGGAGAGGATGCTGAGGAGCGATCATGTCAATTGCCCTGGTCATTTCCACAGTCCACAAATCAACCAGGGTATTTAGAAGTTGTCAGGGCATATTCTTTTTTATAGTGGACAAGAAACAAAAGTTGGCCACCTCGCCTTTGTATTTGGATTTTCAGGAAATGGTAGATGTATTTAGAGGTTTGCTGTCCACAGTTAATCCTGCTTGACTTCTGCAGTTGTTTCCCTTTGAGGACTATTCATCTTGGGAAATAAAAAAAAATTGCACTGGGTGAGAGCAGGTGAATAGAGGGTGAGGCACAAGGGTCATGCCGTTTTTGGTCAAAAACTGAACACTCAGCTGAATAAAATTTCACTGCTGCATGTTGCTTGTGTAAATCAGCCATCTCAAAATAGGCAAATGAGTTGAAAGAGTCTCCAAAAATCCTCACTGAAGCCAATCACAGCCTCTCACAACAACCCAGCTGTGTATACCGCTGCAGATGGGTTCCCAGAACACCCACCTAGCAGGTGACGCCCGCACTACAAGGGTCTTGCCCTCCAGAAGAGAATTCCTGTTTTGGTGGGGGGGATTCCCTCTCATACATGCAAATTCCCTCTCATACATTCAGTTTCCCCCATGCACAGCATGAATGTAGCTGAAAGATGATCATGGTTCCTTTCTTCCTGTCCACGATTTTCTTCTCCCTCAGTCCTCCAAGTGGTATCCCAGGAGACACTGCAGGGAGGAATGAGACTCCTTACTTTGACAGACGTGATCGTAAATCTCAATTGTCCAGCAGTGTCTGTGACACAAACAGGGTTCATGTCTTGAAGGACAGGAGCTGGGCAGGTACCCTCCCCTCCTGCCCCAGAGGGAGCTGCGTGAGCGGGAAGGGTTGCCCAGTGCACACCCAGGCAAAAGGGGGAAATCCGCTGGGCAGTGCTGTGCAAGGAGCAGCACTGCTCTGCTGATTCCTCCTCTGCCCCTTTGCATGCTTCAGAGCAATATTCCTTGAGCACATGAATGAGCCAGCAGCAGGGGTAAGAAGCAACTGGGCGGCAGTACCCAGCTGGTGACGCTGTGTCTCAGTGGATTCACCCGCTGTCCCCTTTTCTTCCTTTGTCTTGGCAAACCAGAGTAAGAGAAGGGAGACCAGTGCCACCTCCCCCTCATTACTGCCACCCAGTTGCTTCTCAGCCCAATGGTGCAGGGAGTGTCACTCTAGCACACTCGGGGGAGATCATTTGAGTGGTGCTGCTCTTCTCCCAGGGCCAACGTGCCCCAAAGACGATGTTTAGGGTGGGAGAATCAGGGATGCCTCTGACAGTTCCGTCAGATGGCAGCTGTCAGTAGCTCTCTCTGGTTAGCTGCTTGGCAAGACTACCAGCAGGCCATTCTTGCAAAATGGCTCATGGTTCTTGGCCTTGGTACTGTGATGTGTTGTGTGTTTTCCAGTTTGGAAGATACAACAAGAAATTGTGGTACCATGAAACCATTAAAAAGACTGTTGTTTCTGTTTGTGGTTCCTCAAAACCAAACATAATATGCTGAAATAGCACTACAGGGATCAGAGGATGTGACAAACCAAAAAAGATTAAAAAAATACTGTAGCTTGTTGTATTGTGTGAACCTGCTCATTGTGTTTTTTCTGGCTGAGAATTGATAAAAGTTTTTCAAGGACCAGCAGTAAAGGATGTTCATATGTGGAACATTATCCCTTACAGGATCAACAATCAAAGGTTGTTTTTCTCTGGCCAGTAAAAGAAATATGGCAACCAGGAAACATTTAGTTGAATGCAGTGACTTGAATCCAAGTTATCTACAACTTGCTGAATGAAATGAAGTGTAATAAATATATTCATTAACTTTAAGTTGATAAAATTTGGTTTGAAATGTTAGTTAATTTTTATGCTTTTACTGTTCTTTATTTTATATTTTATATCTTATTTTATTAATTGTTGTATACCACCCAGAAAGCATCAACTATTGGACAGTACAGAAATAAAATTAATAATGGTGCTGTTGACAAGACACTTTCGCTGAAGAAAAGGCAGAATGGGATTTTTTTTCCAACTCCCCTTGTGCATCTTGAAAAGCTGGTATAGAGGGCTGGGGGAAATCCAAAACAATATGGGATTTGCTGTGGGGGAAACTGCAGGGATAAGGAGGAGTCTTCTGCACCATTCCTCCAATAGATACCTTGGCTGGATCTCAGCCTCTTCTCTTAATGAAAGGAACATTCAGGGATCAGCTCCTTTTGTTAACCCTTAGTTTTTTTAAGGATGTTGCTTTTGGAACCTTTTGAGGAAAGGGTTGGATAGAAATCTCAACACACATTAATCCTTGACACTATTACCTGAAACTTCAGAAATACCATTCTTCGTTCAGCATACAGTGAAACATTTCTTTTGCTTCATTTGAAAGATCTTTCTGCTGAACAAGTTATTGTAAGTATTGGCCTATCTCTTCAGGACCTAGTAACTGTTATTTTTGCAAAAGAGCACTGATTTTGATCTTTTATTGGCCAAATACATTGCCACGTCAATACCTTGTGTTTTTTAAGCATTAACTCGATTATCATTGGATTTTAACAAAAAAAAACACTGGCGATGGCCTTTATCAGCAGTCATGTTATGACTAGATCATATTGTACATTACTGTGAAAACAAATGTGTCTGTAATTATCCACTGAATAGTCTTTGGTAATGGTAAATTTTAAATTTCAGATGCCATGCTAGTCTTTTAGTATGTGTACATTATAAAGTTTTCCATCTAGTGCTGTTATGCAGATTCTTAGACAGATGTCATATAAATGAGGAGTGAAGAACAGAATTACTATTAGATTGTTGGATCTTCAGAAGCTTTACTTCTCTGCAGTGCAGGCAGCTATGTACAAGCCAGATGCAGATTCATTGAGGTCTGAAACTGATCAGTGTAGTAAGGCAGGCTTGTATCAGCACTTGTCTTTGGCTGGAAAATTATGATGTGGTGGTTTATTGGTATACTGAATTGAGTACACGAGATGAGTAATTCTTTTTAAACCAGCTATGCATTGGTTTGTAAATACAGATTTACAACAAAAGAAGGTCATATGCTGAAACACAGCAATTTAAAATCATTATCCTTCTCTTTCTTCCTAGTTATTTCTCCGATATTTGCAGTACCTGCACATGAAATGCAGTGAAGAAGCTACTACAGACCTATCTGGAATATTTTCTGTGACCATAAATCAGGTAAAAAGGACAATATTAAAACTGTTCCTGTGGCACTGACTTTGTACACAGTTACCAAAATATGTGGCAGTTAATGTGTGTTTAGGAGTAGAGGTTTTATTACCTGTTCATTATGAAATGAGTGTGGTTGGAGTGGACACCTATAAAACTATGTCAGAATTCCATGGAAGAGAGAGTTTTGCAAGTTAACTCAGATGTGCATTCCCCCTCTCTCCACCTGGGGTTGCTAGGATTGGAGGGTACATTTTGTATGGCATAAAATCATAGAAACAATTGAGTTGGCAGGTTGCACACTGAATCTTCATAATTCCAAAAAGAAGTCTGAGCCACTGTCATGCATAATTGTTAAATCTTCAGTGGAATATGTTACTGTCAGCTGAAACTTTAAAGCTGGAATACTAACTGCATTTACAATATAATTCTTTCTGATTATTGAGACCAATTTGCACATAAATGCACTGAATATTTAAGAATGTCACACTGTAATGCTTATGCGATGCTGGTTCCATTCTCAGATCATGGACTGGATCTGCCTCCTTCTAGATGCGCACTTTACAGTTGTTGTGATGCTGCCAGAAGCAAGAGGGTTGCTTTCTAAGCTACACAAGTTTGTCAGAGCCCAAGTAAGTTTCCCTTCCTTTGATATTGCAGCTATAGAAACAGATTGGTCAAACTAAAGCACAACATAATTTTCCCTTCCATTTAAAAACCATAAATGTCATCCTTTGTCTTACTGCCTTTTTGAGGCAGTGACTATTACTTGCATTCTCACATGTGGTGCAGTCCTCATGATTATTTGCAGCCAAAATCTTTACTTTTTCTTTTTTAGGTACGTTTTTACTCTGAACTCAACAAGATTGAAGGAAGCTTAAAGCAGTTACAAAGGATACAGCACCCAGAAGATGGTTTATATTCCATTGAAATACTGAAACTAGTTTGAGCTTGGCTTATTTTCATCATAAAATTAATATGAATCTGTTACGGCTATTTTTTTCTTCCTACCCAGAGTCAAGAGCTCGTTTTTAATGCGGCATTTCTCATATTGCTGCCCAGGTGCAGCAGCAGTGCAGAATCTCAGGTTCCTGGGCCAAATCTGGCACTCTGAAGTTTGCCTGATGGGTGTCCCCCTTTCCCCAGCCTCTAACTGTTGAGTGGTTTATCTGGTTTTACGTAGTTTTTCCCATTCTAAAAGCTTACAATGCCTCTTCTAAGGCTTAGTTACTAGCAGTAAGGTTTTAAAGCTACAATATGTTTTGTAGCTTGTCCCCTGTCCCTGTTGCCTTATGCCCCACGAGAATGCAGGTCCTGAGACCTTCTCTCTGATCTTCGGACTGAAAGAGGTTCTGCATCCCTTAGTCATGGTTCCCTGTAATCAAGTGATGACTGTACCATCTTAGCTGAAAGCCCTGTACATATACCAGGACTTGAGTTTTTTAAGTACAGAAAATATAAGGGGGCATTCAGGGAAAGACGTAGGCAAATCTTTAAAATAGTTCTATCTTCTTTGCAATTACAGCTTGTCTGTTCTGTAGACTTAGGGTAGCTTGTAAACAAAAGCAGCAAAACTAAATGACAACTCTGCTGCTAAGTTCTACGTGGTATTAAAATTGTTGGTAACTAGTGTCATCAACTTAGTGCTGCACATACAATGCAGTTATATATGCAATTTAATTGACCTCTCTACTTCCTACAGCCTTGCTCAGAAAAGGTCTTGGAATATTTCTGCCCAGGTACAGCAGCAGTTTCAGATTGATTGACTGATTGATTGATCAATTTAAAGTTGTATTCCGCCCACTACCAAATGGTATCGAGACGGTCTTGCAATTAAACAAGATAACAAAGAACAGATAAAGATCTGTTCTCTTACAAAGAAAATTCCAGAGAGCAAAGACCACAAAAAGTGCTTCAGTCCATGCCTTAACTAATCATACTTGCTGGTGGAACAGCTGTTGCAAAGCAGGACAACCATAGTAGGACCACCATAGCAAAGCAGAAAGGACTTCACAGGCTTGTATGGGGAGAGCCATTCCTGAAGGGACTATTCAAAGCATTAGGAACCATAGCTTAAGTCTTATCCTCTGTCATCTTAATTATCAAATTAATATTTGATGTCTGCTTACTAATCAGTCTCCTGTTTACATCTTGCAGGCAGATGGCACATTCTGCTCAGTGTTGGAAAAAATCACAGTAAAACAGTGTTGTGCCAGCAGATAAGGAGATAATAGAAGCCATACTTAGGTCTTGGTGAAATCAGGCTGTAATTTTATTTAAAGGTTAGGGTGTTAAGAAGACAAGAGACTCGTGTTGTAATGCGCAACTTCTCAGGTATTGAAATCTGAAAGGGGGACAAAAAAGATCCATCCCTGCTCCCTTTGTCTATTAATCTGTCCCTGTTGTTGGCCTAGTTTCTATGACCAAATTCCCCAATATGGTCATCTACAGCTAGTTGTGCCAATAAGCCAGAATTCTTTTTCTACAATCAAGTAATAGTTATAATCAATACAAATAAAACCACTAAGCTAGAAAATGATACAGTGACACATAGCAATAAGAACAAGGGAAGCCTATCACTGTGGAGAGCCAAACCAAACCATCCTGTTTTCCATGACCAGTTCATTGATTGGACAAAGATCCTCCCTGGCCCTCTCAGCTGCTGGCCAGTTGTGATCCAAAGTGAGATTATAATAGCAAGTAAATCACACTAGCATTGACTGGAGGGTGGAAAAGCTTTGCTGTTGACAAAAGTTTGGATGTGTTAAATTATAGATACTACAGTCATTTCTAAAAAGATGCTCTAACACCCTTCCACATGTTGGCTGGGCATGATGAGAATTGTAGTTGTGCATATTTGGAAGGCACCAGATTAGGGAACCTGGCATATATATGCGCTGGATAAAACATATTTTATCCTTTCAGCTAGCAAAAATCTGTTTCCTGTTTACATCTTGCAACCAATCAGTACATTCACCTCAGGGTCAGACTTTTTAAAATGTTGAACTTGGTAGTATGTTAGATTTGCACCATGTTATGCACACTGCATGAGAGAGCCCGTGGACATAAAGTTTAATTATACTTTTAATGGTTGAACACAGAGAGTTGGAGGGAATCGTCTTGCTACCTACAGGATATACCAAAACAATATGTGAATATGGCCATAAAACATTCACAGGATGTGAATGTTCAGCATGCTTCAGTCTCCATCTCCTTAGAGTGATGTCTTATCTGCAGCAAAGTTTATGGAAATTCAGGAAACCCAATCATTGGACAGCAGAAGAAAGTTGTGCTTGAGTGGGAAAAATTGGGGATAATTGCCTAAAATTATATCCTATGTTTGAAAGTATGGTGCCATTGTCAACTTCCCTTTCATCAGGATAAATGTGTACCTGGTGCCAGAAATGTGATCAGCATGAAATCATCATGGAAACATTTTTATATATAACTACATCTCAAATGCACGACTCAGGTGTTTTATCACCTGAATATCAATAAGGTGCTGCAGTCTGCCTATCTTTGGGCACAATACTCAGTATTGGGCACAATACTCAGAAGAACTGTATTCCTTTTATGATGCAGAAAAGCAAGCTGTCTCTTCAGCAAACTTGATTAAGCAACTTAGAATCTGCATGTAGAGTAAATCACTGTTAAAATATGGGATATAAATGGACCCCTAACTATATCTAGCTTTTATACTATGGCATGATTTAACTCATCTCCTATTTGAAAGGAGGCATGCTAGTATTTAAGTATAAAACTCAGAAACAGGTTTCTAGCCACTGACAGATTGCATACATTCAAGTAAGACTATTTTATGTGCTCTATCAAAACCATAATTTGGCTTAAGTTCAAACTGAAATCGGGCAAAATGAAATGGCTCCATATACACTTGGAAATTAGATGTAATCAGTCACACATCCCATGTTATTTGGGCAATCAATACATTATTAAATGGTTGTGGTTTGGAGAAGCGCTGTTTATGCCTTACTCAGAAAATCTCAATCTGCTTACAAAAGTCTGTTTGATAGTTTGCAAATGCCTTATAAGACTAAGGTAATCATGACAAGACTCAGCTCCTGATTTTAATGTTACAAAATTTGTAGATAGTGTTCTTCAAGAGCCCTTGTTCTGCATTACAAGTATCATCAGTCTTCCAGCCAAGAAGCTTTGATTGCTGCATGAACTATCAGATAGGATCAAATATGTAGATCGTTGGTGAGTCATATAAAAATTAGAATACCTATGTTTCTTAGAATTGCTCAAATCTCAGAAGAACTTTTTAAATTTTTCCTGAGGAAGGCTAACTCTGAAATGAGGGGCGCAAGCTAACCAGAACAACAGAAAATGCTGTAGTTCATCCATTTCATCACATCTTGTACCCCTGTTCAATATGAACCATGGACCTAATATGAAAACAGAGCAGTAATAGATGTACATTGAAGATTGGTGGCATGAAAGGTTTCCTTTGGTATTGTGCTAAGATGCTGTGCCTCCTTTAGCAGGAAAAGGGTGGTTGATTCATAGTGGTTTAGCCAGCTTGTACAACCACATACAGATGGAATGACATAGCCATTACTGGCTGTGCACACAGCAGGAAGTCAGTGATGGTAAATCTTAAAGTTGAAATATGTTATCTCTGCCATCAATAATACACTGTCACTGTACTGAGTTAGAATTTCAGGGAGCTCAACACTTTCTGTGAACACAAGGGTAGGTATCTGAGTATGTATTTGAAGACAAATACATTGACAAACAACTGAGTGTATCAGAAGTTTGTATTGTTACCCATCTGTGTACCCTTGCCATCTAGAGGGAATCAGTTCCTACATTCATCATGTGGATAAAATTCATACAACTTCCATACATTAGTACAGAAAGAAAAGGGGTCATGTTGCATAAAAGCTGCTTGAAACTGGGCAGAGAAGCCATGGTGACTCATTTTCCTCACCCTCCATGTGCCACTTGTGTGCCATGTGATTTCCCTAATTAGCCCTGTAGTACCTGGCTTCCTGTTTCAGCTGAAGTGCAAAGGTGGGGTGACTTTAAAGCTCTCCCAGAACTCACAGGCACCGACAGGAGGGTTCTGGGCTAGTTTTGGAGCCATCCCCTGCCGTACAACTCAGCTTGGATGATGGGAAACAGTGTGCTGTGAAGGTAGTTGGGAAGTCATGACTGGCACATGGGACCATCTATGTCAGGCTTTGCGGATATTCTATCACTTGCATCCATTAGCTGAAAGAGCATGAAGTAATTTTCCATGTGTCAGCTGTGCCACAAAATGAACAAGCGGTCAATACAATCATGGCTGTGAGTGTGAAGCAGGCAGCCGTAGCGAGAAGGCACTGGCATGTGTGAGTACAATGTGCTAGGAAAGGCAACCCGAGCTCACATGGTTGTGTTGCAGGATGGGAATGTGCTTCCAGTGCCCCCACCCGCCCAGACGTGAGCAGCCATATCTTCTGTGTGATGAGAGGATCAATAGCCTTAATTTAACTAGTGTCCTTTCCACATTTTCCAATGTTGTGCTACAGTTCATGGCTATTTCAGATAGGAATTTAAGGGAAGGAGTGGGGAATCCTAAGATTGGGATTGTGAGGAGTTCCCAAGGGATCTCTCCAAGCTAGTAGACTGGACATCAAAATGGCAAATTCGGTTCAATGTAAGCAAGCCTAGAGTAATGCATGCTGGGGCAAAAAATCCCAACTTCAGATATGCACTGATGGGATCAGAACTTGCAGTGACTGAGCAAGAAAGGGATCTTGGGGTAGTGGTGGGCAGCTCAGGGAAAATGTTGGTCCTGTGAAGAAGGCAGATTCCATGCTAGGCATTATTAGGAATGGCACAGAAAATAGGACTGCCAAAATCTTACCTCCCTTACACAAATCTTCGGTGCAACTGCACTTCGAATATTATGTTCAGTTCTGGTTGCCTTACATTGAGTTGAAAAATACAGAAAAGAGCGACAAAAAGTATCGGGATGCTGGA